ACAAGGCCGAATGACGCTCGAGAAGAAATCGTGAGGGTGTACCCGAGCGACGAGAAGTAATGGAAAGGATCAACCGTGATCCGAATGGGTGGGTACAATCACTCAAGACATTCGGTAAATATGGGTTCTTCATCGAATGCGATATCGAGGCACCAGTGGAACTCCATGATAAATTCAATGACTTGCCATTCTTCCCCGTACAGAAGGCGGGCATGTACTCCGATGGAATCAAGAAGTACGCAGCGAAGAACGACATTGCGGACAAAGTGAAAGAGGTGAATACACCGAAGCTCATCTGCGATCTTGTGCCTCGGCGCAAATATCTCGTACACTACTCTCTGCTGCAATTGGGTCTTCAACAGGGTTATCACGTCACGCACATCTACCGCATCATTCGATTCAAACAAGCACCCTTCATCTTCGAATACGTCAATATGCTCAGTGAGAAACGAGCCAAGTCCAAGACTACTGTGGAGAAGAACCTGTATAAGCTGTTAGCAAACTCAACCTATGGCAAATTCGTTGAGACTGGACTGAAGCGAATGAAGGTGAAGTTCGCCAACACGTGGAATGAACGCGAGGCTATCATCCAGAAGCACGGATACGACATGATTGCTGGAACAACCATGTATTCCGAGAATCTGATCGGCATCAAGCTGAATACACCGGTGCGCAGAGTGGAGAAGCCGTTCTTCATCGGGTTTGCCATTCTCGACATGTCGAAGCACATCATCTACGATTTCTACTACAATGTGCTCAAGACGACATTCGATAACGTGGAGTTGTTGGGACAGGACACGGATTCGCTCATCGTGCAGTTGAACGACCGTGGTAACATCGTCCACAAGATGTGCGATATGTACAAGTCGTTTGACTTCTCTGAACTCGATAATACGAGCTACTTCTATGGACAACTCGTGAACTACTACGAGCATGAAGTGGACAAGAGAAAGTTCCCTTCATTGGAATCATTCCTCAACTTCAACAAGAAGTTGCCGGGACCCATATTCAAGGATGAGCATAACGGGCATCGCATCACTGAATTCGTGGGACTTAGACCAAAGATGTACTGTTTGATTGACGAGAAGCATGTAGTGCATAACGCAGCGAAGGGAGTTCCTCGCAATGTGGTGATTGATGGAGAGAGGATGAGCGTGAAGAACATCGAGCTGTACAAGCGCGTCCTTGAGGCAGAGAAGAAGGAAGATGCAGTGATCGAAGGTACTTTCAAGCGTATCAACAACCAGGCCTTCGATATCAGCACGAAGGAGCAAACCAAGACCCTCATGACTTGCACGGATAACAAACGTTGGATCTTGGACGACAACATACACACACTTGCATTCGGGCATTATAGACTGAAGTAAAGGAAGCAATCTTTCACTTTGGACAACCATGGATACCATGGCCTACAATGGAAGTCAGGTTAACATTGCAGAAATTGGCTGAAAATGGCAGCCATGTGTTTCCGCGCGTTTCTTGTTATGGACAATAAGGTAGCCAGGCAGGCAATGGCAGAAAATGGTGGAAATGGCAGAAAATGATCACATTGACCAGCAATAACAACCATAATAGTCATGGATATCGCACATTTCAGCACTCGTGTTTTACTCATGAGTGCTGAAATTCTTATGAAACGCAAAAATCAAGGTACCAGTTGAGGGGGTCTGAGGGGTGACTTTGGGGGATTTTTTGTGTTCTGACGGGAATACGCGAAAACAAAGATGGGGTCAGAGGGGCGACTTTGAGCCGCGCACTCTCGTAGATGAGGTCGGAGGGGCGACTTTGGGTTCCGCGCGTTTCCCGTCATTCCCCTACTACTGTCATTCGAGTTCGTGATCACATTAGTTAAATCCACATTGCTGAACATGTTTTTTTGGGGTCGGAACAGGACAGTCATAGAAGTGATGTTGGGATTCCGATACTAAATAGGGTTGATCCATGAGAACGTGCCGTTACTAGGTGAGCCTTGGATGAAAATGGAGTAGTACATTTTCTGTAGCGTGCTCAGTTAACATTTGTTTTCATTTCCATGTAGTGTATATAAAAGAATAGGTACTATTCCTTGAGAGTAGTATGTAAATGGTGCACGACATTGTTTGAAATCGCGTACCAGCATGTGTGCACAAAAAACAAGCGGACAAACAAGCTGCCACGGGCGGAGCCATGGCCGGAAACGACAATTTCGGGCGGAAATGGGTGGAAAAAATGGCCATGGATTTCCGCGCGTTGTGCCATTCACATACTACTATCATGGGTTATATTTCGAAAGTACTGGAAAGACCTTAATGATAATTAACTATTAATATAGACCGAAATTGATTGTTATTGGATATGCCAGTTACGATTCGAGTATATGAAATCATTATGTCAGAATATAATAGGACTGTAAACAATAAAACTCTTTTATAGTTGATTTTTGAAACGATTTGTTAATATTACTCGTTGTTTTTTTAGTAATGCCATTGATTGAATGGACAATTACCATATTATAAGACTGATAATTGCAAACACTATTATCCTGAGTATGAAGACCTTCAGTCAACTGCTTTCCAAAATCACATTACTTTATTGCTTACTTGTTCATACACACATAGCATCACATTATCTATACATAGTTCTATTGCCAAATCTCCTCGATTCTAGCTGTAATACCTATCAATACAATTCAAACCTAGTATGATTTCTATTATTACACCCATCTGTTAGAATGCAATAAGTATACGACAACAGAAAGCCTCATTTCTCTTGTCGCAGTCACTTGTATTCATCACTTCATCTCTCACCTTCTTTTATCCCTTATTTCTGCGATTAAACTTTATTCACTTTTTTTGCTCTAACACCCATCCCAATTCAACGCAAACTATCTCACCAATGAAAACAAACACCCTATTTTTACACATTAAAAAATAATTGCCTCTCTGTATACCCTCTCTTCTGCGAAATAACAAATGACTCCCCTGCTTTTGTTCTTTGCGAGTATACAGAACAGGTAAAACCCTTTTGCTTCAGAAAGGATTCGCTCGATACTTCATTATTATACGTCTTTTGAAGCTCCACTGCGATATTTCCAAAGCTACTTCCCTGAGAAACAATAAGATAGTCGCTATCTTTCAAAATGAACATATCCATCAGAGCACGATGATAGAAGCTATTCCATACACTTTTCCCCAGTAGACCTGACTTTCCAGTGGCTGAATGACCAATCGAAAAGTCGTCCATATGATACATAAAATCCACACCCGTTTCATTTACGATTTTTTTGATCTTTTCCAAAATTAAACTGGAATCGGTTGATATGTACAAATAAGTATTATCCCGATTCAATCCGTGGCTATTCATATATTTCGCGGCTTCATTCAGAGCAACGTTCATCGCATAGTCGCCTTGAATTCTTCGCTCGTGATAGTTCGCTGTCGTTCCGCCATGTCGCAACTGAATCCCGATCATCGTACGCTCGTGCAGCTTCCTCAAATGATTGTTAATCGCGCTGCACATTGAGTAGTCCGGGTTGATGAGCAGCCGATACATTAACGATCGAAACTCCCAGCCTGCCCATTCGCTTGAAACTTTCCCAGGAACGACTGGAATCAATCCGAGATTCTCGAGCGTGGCTCGATAGAAATTGATGTTGAAGTTGCCACGCGTGATATCCAAGAAATAGATATAACAGAGCTGGGGTTTATGAGAAAGGCTCGCAAGTTGAGTTTTCAAGAAATAGCTATAAAAGCTAGGAATATGATTGAATTCTAAACAAAGGGATGGATCAGTCTCGCTGGAAAAGCGATCCATCTGATGGAAGGGGACAAACAACGACCCGTAAAAGTTCGTGGCAGCGTTGACTGACGATTAGACAAACAAACAAACAATCAACTTACTGTGAAAAGACCGGCCTGTAACAGAAGCGATAAAAGCAGTAGACATGATCCCGTAAATAACATTTCCGAGTCCAGATGCCCTGTGAGGAGTGTGGTTCACTGTAAACTCTGGGCGGATATAAAACTGAGCATCTAAAGCCCGCAGGAACTCATCATAGCGTATCTGTTGTATGTAACGAGCCGTCGAAGAAACTACTGGACGCGTTTCAGTCGTAGCACTACGCCGCTTGCTCTTTTTTGGTTTTCGCTTCGACCGACTTGTTGTTTTAGTACTATTACGACTATTATTCCCTTTATCTCCATTCAAAGATAAAGGCTGCTTACTCGATACCGCTTCTGGTTTGGTAGTCGGCAAAACAACCTTATGAATAAATGTAGAAAAGTAACCATTAGGGGGTGTAAGTCTCGGAGGTGACACAGAAGATGGCGCAAGCCGATCACTGGCGAAAATGGGAGAAAGGAGAGTGGGTGTTACAGAATTCGGGCCTTCTACTTCTTTTGTGTCAGGTTGCTTATTTTCTAACCCTTTTGCAACATTTATTACCTCATTGTTCATTTCGGTCTCTGTATGCCCAATTTTTACTTTTTGACTTTTATAGATAGTGTTGTTATGACGTTCATTAATCAGCGTAACCCAACTCACTTTCGTGGGATTAGAAACGACAACCAATGCCATAAAAAACGCAAGACCGCGAAGTAGAAGTAATAGGTACCATAGAATTCTCATTAGACTGTGTAGAAGAGTAATACTGGAATCGTTCTGAAACGAAGTCTATGGTTGTACCGATAGAAATAACAATACATGATATTAAGAAAGTAACTAATAAAAAGAGATATTAATGGTGAAACACGTGAATGGGTAAACAACATATCGTTATCTAATTTCAATAAATTCTTAGTTTTTGTATTATTTGTTTGCATTTAAGTGTATTAATGAGAATAGAAAGTGAAATAGGATATGTGAAATAGGGATTAGAAACTGATCATCACAGTGATTTACAAAACACAGCAATATGGATTTGATATCGTGCTTTAAACTCTATACTCTGTACTATTTGACAAGAACGAATGTTCGATAGGCAGGAACTGCCAATTGTGACACAAGTGTCAAATATTCTGGGGGATCATATTTACTTCTATGTACATTCTGCTATCCACGCGTGCCTGTCAAGAGACCTTTTTTTCTTTTCTATAGAACATGGAATAGGGATCAAATTAATCGATCCATTGTGTATTATTTTGATCATGAATAAGTGAAACACATGTATGATCAAAATAGCGAGAAGACAATAATCTAATATAGCCACAGTCTATCCTCACTCTATCAGACAGAGATAACAACATTATTATTATTATTATTATTATTATTATTATTATTATTATTATTATTATTATTATTATTATTATTATTATTATTATTATTATTATTACGACTACTACTACTACTACTACTACTACTACTACTACTACTACTACTACTACTACTACTACGACGACGACGACGACGACGACGACGACGACGACTACCACCGTTTATCAACCATTCGTAGAACAAACACATCAAAAGTCAATTATGGGCAATCCCCAAGTACAGAAATCAAGGCCGAGTCCCTTTTCTCCGATAATAATACGGAACCAGCCATGCTCTCCCCAGTAGGTACCCCAGGAATTGCGACCAATCCAGTACTTCGTTCCATCCTCCGTCTCGCCCCAGCCAGCAACCTCCACAGAATGTCTGCCTAAATACTCGCTTCCATTCTCCTTGAAGATGCCTCCCTGATAGTCCAAAAACTCTTGTGTGACCCAAATATCGCAAGACACGGGTCCACGCGCGAAGATCTCTGCCTTAATTTCCGCTTCTCCGCTCGCATAACCATACTCCGATACCTTGTATCGCTTATAGTCCTTCACTGGGCCACACTCCTTTCCAGGAGGGCAGTCCATGCAGCGAGCCATGTCATTACATTCCTTGTCGATTGCCTCGTACACCTGGCAAGTCTGATCCGGAATACCTTGATGATAGGCGTACTGGTAGACTCCCGATTGCCAGCCACCTTCGCACGATCCCTTGCCAGAGCAGTTGATAATTTCCTGCACTGAAAGTTCCACAGTGGGCCACTTGCCCTTACGCATCAGGTTGATACGATCCGACAGCGCCGAAGTCGGAGCCTGCGCCCAGCACGATCCGCAGTACTGAGGAATGTGCTGGTTCTTGTCCCACGTCGCGTAGTTCACGCCATCGATGTTGCGAATATCGTAGTTCTTCGGGATATCCTCGCTCTTGATGTAGGTGTGCGGTCTCGGAGACACAACGTGCTCCTTCATTTCCTTCGTATCCGGTCGCGCACACGAGCGAGGGAAGTAGCGAGCACGATTTCGCTGCGAACGCATTTGGTCGTTCAGAATCATTTCTTCCGGTACACGCGGCACAGCCCACTGGCAATCCGCTTCAATGCCCAAATTGTTCTCGCCACGCACAATGCGGAACCAGCCCTTCTCGCCCCAGAAAGTACCCCACGAATTACGAGCGATCCAGTATTTCTGACCGTCTTCTTCGCCCCATCCAACCACAGAAATCGAGTGATCTAAACTCTTTGCCCCTGTAGTATCTCTGTAGATTCCGCCCTTGTACTCCATCAATTCCTCAGGGTCAGCAATCGTACAAGTAATAGGACCACGAGCATAAATCTCTTTCATCATATTCTTCTCGCCAGCAACACTTCCATACTCATCCACATAGTACTTTGTGTAGTTCTTCACTGCAAAACATCCCTTATCAGGATCACAGTCACGGCAAATGTTGATGTCAGTACACTCCATGTTTTTAGCCATGTAACGCATGCATCCTTCTTCAGGAACACCATGGTCGTGCATGTACTTGAAAGCCGTAAGAGGATGACCGCCCTGGCAACCATTAGAGTTGTGATCACAGTTAAGAATCACCTGAGGAGACAAATCATGAACAGGCCACTTTCCCTTCGTCATTAACTTCAGTCGATCCGACACAGAAGACACAGAAGCGAAAGACCAGCAAGAACCACAATATTGGGGAATATGCTGGTTCTTTGTTACCGTTACGTAATTGCGACCATCAATATCGCGACTAATCTTTAATAACTCTATCTAGTCTTACGGATCATAGGACTTGGGAAGAACCTCATCACCTAAAAATGTGTAGGGCTGAGCAGTTTTAACAAGTTCAGGCACTTTCGCGTTCGGATCAAGGCAGCCAGCTGAAACAACTGCCAGTACTACTATGCATGAGAATAGCGTCCTTTCACCCTACAAACTCCAAATAGAATGAATTTCATAGCTTACGAAATATGTATGATTTTATAAAATCTTTCCTTTGGTGTTATTGGGCCGTTACTGATTATTAGCCCCTATAACACCATTACACTCATTACCATGAAAATAACTAAATAGAGTTGAATTACTGTTAAAATTGTTTAATAATAGAAGAACGGCCATGGCTGAAATTGGGTCACAGAGAGGGAGTTTCATATCTATTATTACTTCATTATAAGTGTATTAATAGAATGAGATCGATTCTATTATTAAGTATTTTGGTAAGCGTTGTGGTATGCGACAAATGGGCACTGTTTGTATCAGGTAACTATGGTTGGTTCAACTATTGTATCACTTCCACAGTTTGCAGAGGGTATACTATTCTGCATGATGCCGGTGTACCAGAAGATCATATGGTTTATATGGGTTTCACTGATATTGTGAAGGACCCAGATAATCCTTTCCCTGGTAAGATCTTCACGGATCCGGATCCTGAAGGTCCTGGTATTGATTACGCTCCTGGATGCCTGCCTCATATGGATTACTCTAACAATATGGTGAGTGCTGAACTGTTTATGGCGACGCTGAGCGGAGACAAGGAGGAGGTGACTAGACTGACCGGTGTCAAGAACCCCAAAGTGATTGAGTCTGGTCCGGAGGATACTGTGTTTGTCTATTACATGGATCATGGAGCTATTGGCTTCTGCGAGGTGGGAAAGTCTGATCTGCATGAAGAGGTTTTGATAAAGACCATCAACAAGATGTATGAGAACAAGCAGTACAAGCAGCTGTGTTCTATTTCGAGGCTTGCCATTCTGGTTCGATGTTCCGTACTCTCGAGAAGGGCAAGAACGTGTACGCCTTTACTGGCTCTGATACTCCTCATTCTGCCTTAATGAGCAACTGCCCTCCCAACGATGTGGTGAATGGAAAGCCCATTGGCGTTTGCCTCGGCGCTTATTTCGACAACTACTGGATGCAGGAGGTCACTGACAACGGCGCTGATCTTTCTCACAACGAGATGTACAAGATTGTCCACGAAAAGACGGCCGAGCACTCTGCTCAGAACGTCTCGCAGTATGGAGACATTGACACGATCGGAGAAATGCCTCTCCGAGAGTTCATTGGCGACTACGTCCCCAAGAAGAAGGTTTCGGTGGAGCCCAAGTCGATGGTCAAGTACGAGGATGTGCCCAAGCACCTTGCGATGTGGAAGGCCATTCGTGCTGAGCCCAATACTCGCAGCGATGCCATGGCGGAGCTGGAGAAGGTCGTGCGAGAGGAGGCTCGCAAGGAGATCATGGTGATGCGTGCTGCTCGTGAGTACTTCAAGGACGACAAGCTCGCTGACGCTGCCACGAAGAATCATCCCGCTTCCTCTAACCAGGATTGCATGAAGGACGTTCTGTTGTCATTGATGTCGAAGTGCGGATACACGCTCCCTCTCCGTGAGTCGCATGTGACCGTGCTGGAGAACATTTGTGCAAATGGAATGGTTAATATTGATTTTGAGAATGTTTGCTAAGCCGTTTGATAGATTGTTTGTTTGCAAAATTCATACAATAGTTGAATGCCCGAGGGAGGTAGAGAGTCGCGTGCATGATCCATTCTAGGGAGTGAGACTGCCTTGATTACGCGGGAAAGGAGCTCTCTCTCGGATGAAGATGATTCGCATGTAAGTTTAATTTACTACGTGATTGTAATATGGTAGACTCAATTTTTGAAGCCGAAACGAAAGCTTCAGAAAAATGAGGTCTGGGTTGCTCAAATTCTGAGTGCAGATGACCGTTTGTTCCACTGCAATCGTTTAACGATGTTCCCCACGTTCAAGGCGTCGGAGGCAGCTCAACCATTACCTCCTCTGCGAAAAATCGAGTCTTTTCCCCAACGCTCTGTACCTCTCTCTTATTTCCAACTGCCAAAATACATGTTGGACTATTATGCGCAAAAAGGAATAACAACTCTCTATGAATGGCAGGGACGCTGCCTACTCTCTGAGGGAGTGCTAGAGGGGAGGAACCTCACCTACACCGCACCAACGTCGGGCGGCAAGTCTCTTGTAGCCGAGATCTTAATGTGTCGTCGCGTGTTTCACAATCCTCGACGCAACCGTGCGATCATCGTTCTCCCCTACGTCAGTCTTGTGGTCGAAAAGTACGACCAGCTGCGCGGTTTCCTTCGTGGCAAGGTGATCTTTGGGGAGAAGATAAAAATCGGTTGTTATTATGGAAATCGAGTAGAAACAGGGTTGTTTTGCTCTCTAGAATGGGAATCACCGTCGAGAGCACATCGTTGTATGTACCATTGAGAAGGCGAACAACATCATAAACCATCTAATCAAAACAAAGTCGCTCGAGAACTACCGAACTGTCATCATTGATGAAGTTCACATGATGAGCGACCCAAAACGAGGCTATATGCTCGAAATCCTCATGAATAAGCTGCTGTTCATGCAGTGTACAGCGCACATCGATCTGCAGCTCATCGCCATTTCGGCGACCCTTCCGAACATTGATGATTTTGTGAGGTATACGAATAGTGTGAAGTTTGTGGGCACACATCGTCCGAATCATTTAGCCGAATACATCATTGTCATCTCCGTTTCGCCCGTTAATCATAGTGTCGAAATAAACTATTCGATCGAAGTGGGAAGCTGCTCTCTTCCTACTCCACGTTCACTTCCATCGATTTCTTCTTGCCCCCTGCTCCAGCCTCGCTGCCTTATCGCAACGTCGTCCTGGACCTCTGCAATCGCCAGGCCAACCAGAACAAGCAGGTCATCATTTTCATGCCGACCAAATCGAGTTGTCGCAAAGCCGTCGACGATCTCATCCACTACATCGATTCGTCGTTTCCCGAGCAGCCGGGAATTCTCAGCGAGTCGGTTCCAGAGAAGGTTATGAACGAGCGAAGAGAGGTCATTCACGTACATCTCTCCCGGCCCGTCGAGTCTAGAAAATGCAGGAGCTTCACTCGACCGAGTCCTTGCTCTGCCAGTCCTTGCTCCGCGGGATTTGCTACCACCACGCGGGACTCACCATCGATGAGCGCCAAGTGCTCGACAGCGCCGTGCGGAGCGGCGTTGTGCGCGTCATCATCGCCACCACCACGCTGGCCGTCGGCGTGGATTTCCCTGTGGAAGTGGTGATTCTGAATGGGCTGAAAAGTGGCATGAGCGACCTCTCTCCGAGCGAATACAAGCAAATGGCGGGGCGAGCGGGCCGGCGAAGTGCCGGCGAAGTGTTCGTGATCGAATCGCAAGACCGATTCCAGTTCGCGATTTCGCTTATGAACGCGACGATCCCGCCTGTGAAGTCTGCTCTCACCGGCGATCAGCGCGGCATCGACCGCGTGCTGCTGGAGGCCATCACGCTGGGCGTGGTATCGACGCTGGATGACATGATGCGCTATCTGCACATCTCCATGCTGAGTTTGTGCGTGAGCGAAGCCGAACTGCGTCGCATCGTGATCGAATCGGTCGGCTATCTGCAGGAATTCCAGATCATCCACGGGTTTTCCTCGCCTTCCGGCGTGCTGCTTCGCCCCTCGCGATTGGGCCGCGCGATCAGCTCGTCGCTGCTGCCCATCGAGGAATCCATCCTCCTCTATCGCGATCTATTTCTCCACCAGACCCACATCATGCTCAACACGCACCTCTTTCTCGTCTACTTCATCACTCCCACCTTCGTCGTTCCCTATCCTCGCTGGAGCATCTTCGAGAAAGTACTCCTCTCGCTCTCTTTCTCTCAGCGCGCAGCTCTTCCAGTCGCTCTCCTCCACCGACAAAGAAGTCGCAGCGCGGCTCCACATCGAAGAGAGCTTCATCTCCTACTGCGTTCAGTTCCCTCCCGCGCCGTTCTACCCCCACCCCCATTCCCATCCCTCCTCCGAAGAGTTTCGATTCATCACCCATTGCCGGTTCTACGGCGCGCTTCTGCTTCGCGATATCGGCATGGCGGGCGGCGACGAAGCCATGCTGGCGCGCATCCAAGCCATCTACAAAGTTGATCGAGGCGAGCTGCAGCGCTTCTGGGAGTCCTCGGAGATGTACCTCCAGCTCGTCACGTCCATGTGCGAGGCGCTCAACTGGACCGTTCTGAAGCGACTTCTGCACTCGCTTCGCGGATGGTTCAAGTCGCGAATCCCCAAATCGTTCGCGTGCTTTCTGCACGAAGAGGATCGCGTTCCCTTTCCCTGTCTGCAGCTGCTAGCGGAAGAGGAGCTCACTGTGCGCGATATTGCGGAGATGGACGAAGCGATGCTCGCTCGGCTGCTGCGGATCGGCATGTCGGGGAAATTCGGAATGAATCCGATCGATTATGCGGCGGAGATCGCGAACACACACGAGACATCGGTCGTCGTGAAGCGGCGAGGCGATTACGAGCGGTTTCTGGATGACATGGAGCGCATTGCGGGCGTGTTGAAGCAGCGAGCGCAGGAACGAAGGACCGTTCTGGGAGTGAATCGAGTATTCCGGGAGTGGGAGAACGAGTCGGAGATCTCGATCTTGGTGTCTCCGCTGGTAACGGAGAAGGAAGCGATGCTGAATGCGATTGAGAACGAACAGAGCGAGGGGGAGAGGAGTGATGGCGTGCTATCTGCTTCAGACGAATCCCTGAGCGAGGCGGTCGAAGAGAGTCAGAGTCAGCCAAAGAGAGTGCATGTGTGTTCTCTGCAAGGGTTTGATGCGGATTTGGAAGAGGCGAACAGGCGCGAGCAGGGACGGAATTCGATGACATTTGGAGAGTGTCAGCATTTTTGTGCAGACGAATCTCTTGGTTCTGTAGATGATCAAGATTTCCTTTTGTAACTTTTATCTTTTCATATTTTTTGTTGCTGTTTGTTTGAAGACTTGCAATTGCGTCTGTCAAATTAACATTTCAAAGAAAATGGAGAAACAATACGTAATCAGAGAAGATGATGATCTGAAAATGAAACTCCAATTTTGATAGGATGCCCTACTTTGATAGGAATAGTGCGCCCACTCATCAAGCGATTCGCTATGACGTGACTACAGTGCTATCTTACATCATCTCTTCGTACTCCTATCAAAATATATTTATACTCTTTTAAAGAAATATATATTAATTCCAATGTCTGAAGCAGATGAAAAAACATTTAGCAGTAGCTTTTCGACAATGGAAGAATATGTTAAAGCAAAACAGTGAACACCATGAATAGAATCTAATATTTAGTGGAAAGAAAGCAATTCGCAAATTGTTAATTGCTAACAATGGAATTGCCGCCGTCAAAGCGATCCGATCCATTCGAAAATGGTCGTACGAGACATTCGAGAAAGACCGAATCATTACGATCGTCGTAATGGCTACTCCAGAGGATCTCGCTGCCAATGCAGAGTATATCCGCATGGCGGACCAATATTTCGAGGTGCCTGGAGGTGCCAATAACAACAATTATGCAAATGTAACTAGAATTCTAGAGATTGTTGAAACTGCCGGAGTAGACGCCGTGTGGGCTGGATGGGGACATGCCTCCGAGAACCCCTCTCTCCCGGAGCGTCTGAGCAAGATGGGCGTCTTATTTTTGGGACCTCACAGTGGAGCAATGAAGTCACTGGGAGATAAAATCGACTCAACCATCATTGCCCAGTCCGCTCGCGTGCCGACTCTTCCCTGGAACGGCAGCCATGTGAAAGTGGACGTTGAATCCCTGCTGAACAAGCAAGGCTACGTGACAATCCCCGACGAGATCTATGAGCAAGTCAACATCCACAATCTAGAGGAAGCAGAGGAAGCGTGCCGATCTGTCGGCTTCCCTCTCATGATTAAGGCCAGCGAGGGAGGTGGTGGCAAGGGTATTCGTACCTTGACCTCGATGGATCAGCTGGAATCGGCTTTCCGTGCTGTTCAGAGCGAAGTTCCTGGTTCACCCATCTTCATCATGCGTCTTGCTGAGCATTGCCGACACTTGGAAGTGCAGCTGATTGCCGATGAGTACGGAAACGTGATTTCCCTGTCGGGACGTGACTGCTCTGTGCAGCGTCGTCACCAGAAGATCATCGAAGAGGGACCTCCCACGAGTCCTTCTCCCGATGTGTGGCAGGACATGCAGCTGGCGGCTGTGCGTCTGGCCAAACTCGTTGGGTACACAAATGCAGGTACTGTGGAGTATCTGTACATGGAAGACAACACTTATTCCTTCTTGGAGCTGAACCCGAGGTACGCTGCGTTCCGGATGGTTCTAATATCGTAGATTGCAAGTGGAGCACCCGGTCACTGAAATGATCACAAACGTGAATCTCCCCGCCTCCCAGCTGCAGGTTGCGATGGGAATTCCACTGTACTGCATTCCCGACATTCGCCGACTGTACGGACTGAACGAGAACGACGTGACTCCCATCGACTTCGATACGGAGCCGCCCATCGAGCCTCGCGGCCATGTGATTGCCTGCAGAATCACGGCCGAGAATCCGGATGCGGGATTCCAGCCCACTTCGGGCGCCATTCGCGAGCTGAATTTCCGTAGTACCGCGAACGTGTGGGGCTATTTCTCCGTGGATGGTTCTGGGCGTGTGCATGAATACGCGGATTCGCAGTTTGGCCATTTGTTCTCCTGGGGCACGACCCGAAACATTGCCCGAAAGAACATGGTCCAGGCGCTTCGTGAGTTCAGTATTCGAGGAGAGATCCGAACCACGATCGAGTATTTGCTCCAGCTCATGCAGAATGAGAGCTATGTGAAGAATCAGATCGATACGAATTGGTTGGATACCCTGATTCGAAGCAACCTCCAAACCACCAAGCCCGATGCTTGCTTTGTGGTGCTGGTTGCGGCTGCTTGCCGCAGTTTCATTCAGTTCAAGCAGCGAAAGAACGAGTATCTCAGCTTCGTTCGTCGAGGGCAGATTCCTCCCTCGGAGTTGCTGAGCACGTGCTGCCACGAAGATCTGATTTATGACAACATGAAGTATGCGATCGATGTCCATCTGAGCGCAGATTCGCTGTTGACTCTGTCCGCGAACAACTCGTTTGTCCAAATGCAGATTCGAGAGTTGGCGGACGGAGGATTCTTGCTCAACACGAATGGCCAGTCCCACGTCGCCTATGTCATGGAAACGTCGTCCGGACTGCGCCTGAACGTGGACGGAATCACCTGCATTTTCTCTCAGGAATACGATCCCACCATTCTTCGATGTCCCAATTCTGGAAAGCTGGCTCGCTTCCTCGTGCGCTGCGGCGATCACTTGGATCAGGGCCAGGCGTTCGCCGAGATGGAGGTGATGAAGATGTACCTGCCTCTGACAGCGCAGGAAAGCTGCACAATCACTTCCTTGGTGAAGTCCGCGGGCTCGGTTGTCCAGTCGGGAGATATTCTTGGCTATGTGAAGCTGGACGACCCCAGCAAGGTGCGTCGCGCCCAAGTGTTCACCGCCAAGCTGCCCACCTTCGAGGTTTCTTCCTCGGTGCAGGTGAAGCGACCTCACCACTTGATCAAGATTGCGATCAGTCTGATGGAGGCGTTCATTAACGGGTACTGGGTTCCTCTCAACCAGATCGACAACAGCTTGGATTCCTTCCTGGAGGCTGTGCACGATCCCAGCCTTCCGTTCTATGAGTATCTGGATGTGCTTTCCACGATGGAGGCGTGTCTCCCTGACTCTCTGAAGGAAGAACTCAACGCCGTGCTCTTCCAGCAGACGCTTCCCGACTCTTCTCCGCGCAGCACCAGCCAGGAAGAAGAAAGACAGGTGACGCAGTCGTTCCGAGAAGAGTTCCCTGCGAAGCAGATTCGCCAGGTTCTGAACAAGCATGTGATGCTTGCAAAGAATCGAGCAGAACTGCAGCAAATCGTGGGTCCTCTGTACGAGGTGGTTGGCAAATATGGCAGCGGACTTGAGGGATATGCGATCTCCATTCTGTTCCATCTGTTGGACGTGTACATCGTGAATGAGCGGTCCTACGAGACGCTGGGCAAGCCTGGAGACACGATGGACTTCTCTCGCAAGAATACGGATATGGCGTATTGCGAGCAGGTTTGGCGCTGCATGTTCAGCCACATCCAGATGAAGCAGAAGGGCGATCTCATCATCCGGGTGATGAACTTGCTCAGCTCTCTGATTCCCTCGATGCACGAAGAGAGCAATCACCTCAATAAGGTGCTGCAGGAGATTTCGTCCTATTCGGACCACTCTTCCACCTCGATTTCGCTCGAGGCGCGCCAATTGCTGCTTCAGCGAAAGCTTCCTTCGCGCCAGGAGGAATTGGAGGTTGTGCGCAACGCTCTGCTCAACTTGGAGGCGTGCAAAACCGCGGAGGAGCGCGAGAGTGAATTGCAGAAGCTCGTGGATCAGAGCAATGATGTCCGCCAGCCGCTCATGGAGGTTCTGCACGACACGGATAACGCGAGTCTTGCTTCCGCCGCTCTGGAGTGCTATCTGCGAAAGATTTACCGACCCTACATCCTGGCGAACGTGAAGCCTTGCCTTCAGGATGTGGCCACCGCGTTCGGCTTCGACTTCACTTCCGAGTCCCCCGAGCTCCCCACCGGTCTGCGTCCCTCGGCCTCCTTCTCGTCGCTCGACAACTCTCCGCTCATGTCGCCCAAGAGCCCAATGTCGGATTCCCCGAAGTCCTCGTTTGCCCACGGAATCATTCTCCATGCGAAGGATACGCAGCACATCCGCTCGATTCTCCCTCGCGCGCTGCGAATGTTTGGAATCATCTCGGGAGGCGAGTCGTCCACCAACGCGATCCACATCGTTCTGAGCCGCGTTCCGGACTGTATGGAGCGAGACGACAAGATCAAAGTCTTCGAGGAGATTCTCGAGCAGTACAGATCGGAGCTGATCACAGCTGGAGTTTCGCGCGTGACGATCACGCAGTCTCCGTGCAGCTCGACGATGGAAAACCGATGGGAGCTCCCGACTTCCTTTACGTTCCGAAACCGACTGGGATTCAAGGAGGATCCTCTGGTGCGCCACATCGAGCCGCCATTGGCGTATCATTTGGAGCTGCATCGTCTGCGAAACTTTACCATTCGACTGGTTCCCATCCCGAACCGCAACATCCACTTGTACGAAGCCACTCCGAAGGAGGCTGCCGTGGTTCGCGGGTCCAAGCTTCCCATTCGCAAGCGGTTCTTCGTTCGCGCGGTTTGCACAACGCTCGATCCTCTCGATACGGACACCATCACCGATACCTATCCCTCCGCCGAGAAAACATTGGTCGAGGCGTTGAATGCGTTGGATGTCGGTCTGGGCGAAGCTCGTTTGCGAGGCGACGACAAACTGTTTGCAGGCAACCACATCTTTTTGAACATTCTGCCTCCTGCCGAACTGGATCCGAATCTGATCGAGCAGATCATGAAGAACCTCTATCTCCGCTATGTGCGGCGATTGATGGCTCTCCATGTGACCCAAGTGGAGATGCGCTTGCTGCCGATTCTGACGCACGGCGCGCAGCCCATTCCGGTCCGCATGGTAGGCGCCGATCCGACGGGAATGGCGCTCCGAATCGACACGTACGTGGAGACAAAGGACAATTTCACGGGCTCCGTGATCTTCACGAGCATCAACCAGTCGATCAGCGATGCTGCTGGAGAATGGGACGGACACTCCGTGAGTCTGCCGTACCCTGTGCTCGAATTCTTAGAACGCGAACGTGCGTATGCCCAGAAGTCGAGCAACACGCTCTACTGCTACGACTTCCTGGAGTTGATTCAGCGCGTGATGCTACAGCGCTGGAAGTCGTTCCTGCGCACCAGCGAAGCTTCCTCTGTGGTCATGCCCAACACCATCATGAAGGCTCGCGAGCTGGAACTCACCGGCACGCCAGGAAACTACAAACTGAAGGAGGTGGTTCGCGGACCGGGCAAGAACAAGATCGGAATGGTGGCGTGGCAGCTCACACTGTACACTCCGACGTACCCGAAGGAGGGCAGAGACGTGATAGTGATTGCGAACGATATCACGTTCAAGGCGGGATCCTTCGGAACGAAGGAAGACGCCTTCTTCAACCTCGTGTCGCAGTCTGCGCGCTCTCAGGGCATTCCGCGCGTTTTCTTCGCGGCAAACAGCGGAGCCCGCATTGGACTGGCCGAAGAAGTCAAGCAAGCCTTCCAGGTGAAGTGGGTGCGAGACGGAGATCCCGATTCGGGCGTGGAGTATCTCTACCTGACCGCCCAGGACTACATGACGCTCAGCAAAAGCGTGGTGGCGCATCCTGTGATGTATAACGGAAGCATGGTCTACGCGATCGATGCGATTATCGGATCCGAGCCCGATCTGGGCGTGGAGAACCTCGCTGGATCTGGCTTGATTGCCGGTGAAACGTCGCGTGCCTACAAGGATATCGTCACTCTCACGGTGGTCACCGGGCGATCGGTTGGAATTGGTGCGTATTTGGTGCGTCTGGGACAGCGAACGATCCAGAAAGCAGCGGAAGCGCCCATCATTCTCACCGGGTACGAGGCATTAAACCAGCTGATGGGAAAGCCGGTCTACGCCTCGAACGACCAGCTGGGCGGACCTGGAATCATGTGTCCCAACGGAGTGACGCACATCCGCGTGGCGAACGACATCGAGGGAGTGAACGCGATGCTGCAGTGGCTGTCGTACATTCCCCGCACCAACCACTCCGATCTGCTTCCTCAGCCGCTGTCTGCCGCTCTGGATGTCGTGGATCGCCCTGTGGCCTTCAAGCCGACCAAGACCGCGTACGACGTGCGCAACCTGATCGCGGGAACCACCGACGCGCAGGGCGAGTGGGTCAGCGGCCTCTTCGACAAGAACTCCTTCATGGAGGTCCTCACGGACTGGGCAAAGACCGTGGTGGTCGGCCGTGCGCGACTGGGAGGCATTCCGGTGGGCGTCGTGGCCACGGAGAACCGCACGGTGGAGGCGGTGATCCCCGCGGACCCCGCAGCGCCCCAATCCGAAGAGAGCGTGCTGCAGCAAGCGGGCGGCGTGTGGTACCCCGATTCCGCCTACAAGACGGCGCAGGCGATCGAGGACATCAACCAGGAAGGCCTTCCGCTGTTCATCATCGCGAACTGGCGAGGCTTCTCCGGCGGAGCGCGCGACATGTTCCAGGAAATCCTCAAGTTCGGCTCGTACATCGTGGACCAGCTCGTGGCGTTCAAGCAGCCTGTCTTCGTGTACATCCCGCCGATGGCCGAAATGCGCGGCGGCGCGTTCGTCGTGGTGGACAGCCACATCAACCCCGAGGTGATGGAGATGTACGCCGCGCCGGAAGCGCGAGCCGGCGTGTTGGAGCCCGCCGGCGTGGTGACGATCAAGTTCCGCGGAAACGACAAGAAGGAAGCGATGATCCGCACGGACGCCAAGCTGCAGCAGATCCAGATGGAGCTGTCGGATCTCTCGCTGGAGAAGGAGCGGAAGAGCGAGCTGCTCAGACAGCAAGCTGCGCGCGAGGGCGAGTTGGAAACCGCGTACCAGCAGGTGGCCGAGACGTTCGCGGACCTGCACGATCGCGCCGAGCGAATGCAGGCGGTGGACGTGATTCGCAAGGTGGTTCCGCTGGAATCGGCGCGCAAGTTCTTCTATTGGAGACTGCGCCGCCGGATGATCGAGCTGAAGATCTGCAAGGAGATCGCGAAGTCGACCAAGAAGCCGATGGAGGAGGCGAAGGCGCTGTTGGGCGAGTGGTTCCAGCAGAGCAACCAGCACCGATTCAACCAGGAAAGCCAGTGGGAGAACGACGAGGTGGCGTTCCACTGGATGGAGCGCGAGCAGGCGGACTCGATCTTCCTGCGACTCAACAATCTGAAGCGGAACCGAGTGAAGGAGGACATCGTGCGACTTGGAAAGGAAAACCCGTACACCGTGGCGGAAGGAGTGCTCGATCTGTTGTCCTCGCTTTCGGGAGAGGTGAAGGAGCGCGTAGTGTCGACGCTGAAACGCGGAGTGTTGCTGCGCAATCAAAGCCAGGCGGAGTTTTACGAAGATGACCGGCAGTTCATTGAATTTTAAAGAATAGATACTATATAAAGTGACATTAGATTGATGGTTTGTTTGTTGTTACACGCAAGATGGGTAGAGCCAAGGAGACTTGTGGATTTCTCTTTCCGTCTGCATCGCTGTTTGCTACGAACTCGTCATATCCCTGTTCACAATGCATAATCTCACAGCCCGTTCTTACAATGCACACTCTCACAGCCTGTTCTTACAATGCACACTCTCACAACCTGTTTTCACAACAAACAACCAATTAATTGATAACGATGAAAACAAATCTCAGTTCGCAGTTTACCAGTCGTCGTCGTCATCACCGAACAGACCGCCTCCGCTCATATCAATGTCTTCCTCTTCCTCCTCTTCCTCTTCCTTCGCCTCCTCCTTCTTCTCCTCAGCAGCAGGGGCAGCAGCTCCAGCAGCGGGGGCAGCAGCACCTCCGGTGGGAATGGACACCAGCTTGTCCAGACCCGAGGCGATCAGCTCCTCCACGTTCTTTCCCTCGAGGTCAGCAAGGAGCTTCTCGATCTTCTCGTCGTCGCTCTCAGCACCAACGGCCTCCAGCACGGACTTGATGTTCTCAGCCTAGGTATAATAAAATAGCAGCGGTAAAGCACGTACGGTGGGCTTCTCGTTTCCACCGAGGACCAGCATAAGGTAAGCAGCAAGATGTCTCATCTACACACAAAAGGTAAGAAATGTGCGAATGCATTTTGCAGGGGTCTAGAACCGACCGAGCCAATTCAGTTTTCGAACATACCTTATTATCAAATAATACGTGATATTCCTACAATAATGGACCCCTGGGTGAAATTGCCTGTATTCTGAGCCAGTATAATTCCGCCTCTTTTGGGGATCAATTTTTCTGTCCTTTGTTTTGTGACTACATTTCTTTTGAAGGAACAGCTCTATAAATATGGTATGTTTCTAGTTCACTTGTGTTGACTATTTGAGCGGGAGGACCTTTCGTAACCACTTTGTAGGGTATTGATCTTGTTGCTGGAGGACGTAACTGTGGACATAAGAAACGACAAGCTCCCAAGAGTGAGAACGTGTACTTGGCCCTGCTGGTCAATGTGAGCGCTTTCTGGAGAAATGGGTGATCTCGTAGCTGTACCGCTTCCTGGCTCGCCGCACCAACGCTAGATTCCCCGAGGTGGTCCTGAAGCGTCTCTACATGAGCCGCATCAACCGCCCTCCCATGAGTCTGAGCAGACTGATGAAGCACATGCAGGGAAAGGAGGACAAGATCGCCGTGATCGTGGGAACCGTCACTGACGATATTCGCGTGATCGAAGTGCCTGCCCTGAAGGTGTGCGCTCTCCGCTTCACTGAGACCGCTCGTGCCCGCATCCTGAAGGCTGGAGGCGAGTGCATCACTCTGGACCAGCTGGCTCTGCGTGCTCCCACCGGAGCCAACACGGTGCTGCTGCAGGGCCACCGCAGTGCTCGCGAGGCCGTGAGACACTTCGGAACTCCGGGTACTCCTGGAAGCAAGGCGCGCCCCTACGTGCGTTCGACTGGTCGCAAGTTCGAGAGAGCTCGTGGTCGCCGTGCGAGCATGGGTTACAAGGTCTAAGTGGCAGGAAGGGGTGGTCCTTCAATTGTATGGCGTGTTTGTTGGAAGAAACACACGGAAACAAAAGGGATTCACGTTGGTTGGTTGATTGAACATACACACGGTTGGTTGGTATTAGTGAATTAGTTAGTGAATTAGGCACTGGTGAGTAAGAATGTTCGGATCTGCAAGGGAGCGTATTCGACCGCTTTCAGATTGGTGATGGGGTGAAGGAAGCCGCCAGTGACCTTGCCGTCCGCTCCCTTCCAAATCATTCGCGTGGACTCGATGGAATCCTTCGTGTTCACGCCGAACAGATTGAGCTCCTCGACCTTCTACAGAGAAATCAGGAGAGAGAAGGACATCGCCTACGCTCAGCCGTAAGAATCGGGCGATTGAGGTCATGTCGTGCACCACCACGTTGTCGTTCATCGCGTACGCGTCGTCGTACTCGGCCTGGTTCTGAATTCGGACGACGTACCGCGCTGTGAGCGACTCCACGCGCTCGATCGAGAGCAGAGTGAGCGGAGTGGGCAGCTTGGTCTCGATCAGATTCACCACCAACTTCAAGTTCGTGTTCCCCTTGTTCTCCTTCGTGTTGTTGAAATAGAAAATGTGGTGCGGTCGAGTCAGCATGTGCGACAGCCTGCGCTTTAGTCGATTCCCCCACACTCACATCTTGTTATTCACGGCGAACAGTCCGTTCTCCGATCGCTCCAAGTAGATTCCGATGTTCTGCGTCGTTCGGTCCAAGTCGTAATGCTTGCCCTCCTCGCTCGACCCCTCCGCGCCCTGCTCAGCCTGCTCAGCCTGCGCATTCTCCTTAATTCCGCTCACCGTTAGCGGGATCATCACGCTGCCAGGAGCGTACAGACTGATTCCGTGCGGATATTCGAAGAAGAAGGAGGCGCGCGCGATGTCCGCCTTGGTCCGATCCACGTCTTCGTCCTGGATGTACGCGTAGGATCCCGCGGGGAACGTGTTGCGCAGCAGATACGTGCCGTCCTGGCTGGGATCGGCGGGGATCGGCTCGACCGCCTGCGCGTTGGAGCCCAGTCCGTTGAGATTGTAGTGCAGAACGTTCTGGTTTACAATGTCGGGCAGGCTGTACACGGCGACTAAATCGCCCTCGACGCTCTTGCCCTGGATGAAGAACGTGATGTCGAGCAGATGGCCGAAAGAAGCCAGGCGGTTGTTGGTGCCGATGGACTTCGGAATGCGAGTGACCACGGTGATGTCGTTCGGATAGTACTGCACCATCACGTTCGCCACGGAGCCTCGCACGGCGGAATACGCGATGGGGGTAGTGCGAGGAACCAATCGTTTGAGGTACTACAGGTCAGCGAAGACGAGAGAGCGGGACGGGAGAGAGATAGGAAGGATCGCTGGGCGGAAGGCCGTGCGGGATGTGGAGGTGCGGGTTGGAGGGCGAGGGCGTGAGCACTGCGAGGTCGGCTTCGAAGGTGTACAGCACGTTGTCCTGCTTGCTTGTGATGTTCGTGAACCGCCCGGTCTCGTCGAATTCGATTCGATAAATGTCGCCGTCGAGCCATTTGCCCTTAACGGAGTGCGTGTCGCTGCCCTCTTTCTCCTGGCCTTCGCAGTAGTGGATGATGAACGTGGCGTAGCTGTTCGCTTTGAGCTTGGTGGGGAGAACCAGCTCCCAGAGTTTGTCTTTAATCTGCGTCAGCTGCTGTCGCTGAATCATTTTGGCGTAGTTGTAAATGCAGAGATCCGGCGTGGCCACGTAGAGCTTAATGATTTCTTTCACGGAAACGGGGTACGAGTTGTACACGATCACGCCGAGCTCTTTCTTCCGCGTCCACTCCACCGTGCGATGATAGATCGAGAAGATGCTGTCCTCGTCGATTTCGTTCGGAGACACGCGCTCCTCGATCCCAATCAGCGACGTAAACATCCGACCCGCCTGTTTCTCGCTGTTCAGCACCGCGTCGTGATAGATTCGGTACGTCGTGCTCGCCACTTTCCCGTTCGCGTCGTGCAGATTGATCAAGAAGTCCGCGCGCTGCGCCGCGCTTTGCTCCTGGCGCATTCGGTTCAGCCAGTAGAACGTCAGATCCTCGGGCTTTCCGACCGGGTAATACACCGAGCCGGAGTAGAAGGCGGTGTCCGGAGTGGAGGGCGGAACCAGCGAGCAGGTCTGCATAATCGAGCAATACGCGTAGTACTTGTCGAAAATGTTCAAAAAGCGCGAGCCCAAACTACAATCGAAAACACACAGAGAAAAGCGACTGGTGGCGACGGTGAAGCAGCGGCTGCGCGGAGTACAGGCCGTTCGCCGCGACGCTTTGCACTTGGATTCGCTCCCAGTTGAACACGGGCCACAATCGCTCTTTGTTGGCTCCGTTCACGTCGAGGAGATAGCGATAGAACGACGAGAGACTGAGAACGATGTTCTGCGACGCCGCCACGGGCGCGATTGTGGTGAGAAACAGGTCGATTTGGCTCATTGGATTCGCGCCGAGCAGCGGCCAGAGAAGCAAATAGCGATTATCGTTCACTTGATCCACCTCGGAAGCGAGGATGGCTCGCAGTTCAGGCATGGCTCCCTCCATATCGCTTCGGTTGACTCCATCCCCGACCCGTACTTCGTTAAAATTCGCTTTACCACGCCCCACAATCCGCTTCGTTCCTTACACAAATGCGTGAAGATTCGCGACTCCTCGCCAAAATACGGGTCCGTCTCCCACAAAAACTCCCCCGCGTTGCTTTTCCGCAGCGCTTCGAACCACGCTGGCGACGCTCCGTCGATCACCAGCATTTCCACGCCTCCGCTTCGCAGCATCGACGCCATCTGCTTCGACATGAAGGTCTGCGGCGCGACGTACGCGACCACGCAGCGATAACCAAACTCTTCGAGGAGCCAGCGCTGCGACTGCTCGAACGTCGTGAGCAGATCTTCGAAGTGGGACATTTCCGGCGCGATCGCGCTCCAGCCGCCCAGAACGAACTCCAGACGGCCGGCCTGCACGAGGCCTTTGATCGAGGCGCGGGTTTCGAGGGGCTTGTTGGCGTACCAGCGTCGGAAGTAGGCGACTTCGCTCCATCTGGATAGCAAAGGCGAGGAAGAAACTACGAGAAAATGTGCTGCGTGTCCTGCTGCAACAGCGAAATCAGCGAATCCAACAGCTGCGAAGTGGCCTGCTTCTCACTCCCCTCGCTCACTCCCACTTCGTACTGCCCCTCGTAATGAACGCCGACCGGCACGACGTAGAGCTTGATCTTATCGGCGGCGATCCAGTCGCCTTGCGGAACCGGCGCTTCGATGCCGACGTTTTGAATCGGCGTGTGGGAAACGAACTTGGATCGCGCGCGGTTCTCGGCTCCCTGGGCGGCCTGAGAGACCGAAAGCGTGTGGAGGTCGGCGGCTTTTTTGGCGTTGAGAGGAGGAGGAGTCACCACTGGAGGCGGAGCGTTCGGATCGGGAGTGGATGCTCCCGTGTCGATCGACTTGGGTCCCTTGGGCTCTTCCTTGCGCTTTCGCTTTCCCCAGAAGCTCTTCTTTTTGTTGCTTCCACCCTTGCTCTTGTCATCCTTGTATTCGAGGGGTTTGCTCACATCGGCTATCAAATCACGGAATTGCTTTTCAGCCTCGAGGTAATCGTAGTTGCTGTCCAGATAGTTCACAATGTCGGTTGGAATGGAAGATTCGAGCTTCTTCCCGTTTTTGTAGTATTCCTTCTCTCCCGAAACACGGCTATGATCCCACTCACCATTTTCAAACTCAGATAGACTCAAAGGATCCACACCTTCAAACTCCAAATCGCCGAGGAAGATATTGTGGTCTCTCGATACTACGTTATTACAAGCCATTTTAAGATGATTCATACATGTAGTTTTCTTTAATTGTCCAGGACCTTCGTAATACGTAACCTCGGGCTTGGGCGTACTTTCGAGTTTACGGAACTGCTTTTTGTAATCGATCTTCTACAAAAGGATCACCTATATCGGGTATCGCATACTTTAAACCGGTTGTAGACAGAATTCAAACGCCAAGCACCCAGGAGCAGGGCAGTGATCATGATGACATATACGGCAAGTTCTACCGTTCTGGGTTTAGAGTTCTTCATGTTTTTGATGGGAGGATCAGACAGATAGAGACGGTGGTCACCGTACTGCATACTAAGAGATTAAAATTCGAGAGTGGTATAGAACAAACAGGAAAGCCACGATTTGCCATCATTACTTTGTTGTTCTCATCCTTTATAATACGGACGCGGTCGAGGCGGTAATCCATCGTAGCAGGAGAGGTCTACTTCAGAAAGCAACAAAAAAACAAACTGCGCCCAAAACCTGGATATGAACGTCAGGGCATTCTTCCTGAATCACTTTGCGTGCTTCTTCCACATCCTTTCCCTGCAATTCTGGCCAACTACAAGGGATAACTTTCTCAAGTTCCGTACTGCATCTTCATATCATCTGGAGGGTTTACAAACATTATGAATCGGTTCAAATAAAAAAGATATGAAAAGTTGTGAAATCTTTTGGTCCCGAATTTTGCAGTTTTATTATTATTAAAGGTGTAATATTAATAAAGTATTATATTATTATTATTATTATTATTATTACTTTTATCAAGTTGTTTACTAACTTGTTTTCTATTCCACTATCGACAACTTTCATTTCATTCATGGTTGCTCAAGTATGTTCAACTATATCCTTATCCATCATCTTCGCCTATCAAGTCAACCATATTTTTCATGAAGAACAACAAAGGTATCATCTACGCAGTGGTTGCTCGCAATAATGTCGTTTTGGTAGAGCAAGTCAACAGATCGCCGCAAATTACTCACTCTGGTAACTTTGTTCAAGTCATTCATATTCTCTTGACGAAATTACCACGTGGAGGTAACTACAACTATCACTATGACAGGTATGCAAGTGCATTACAAGTCAACCTTTAGGGAGTTTGATGTGTCTGTCTATCACAGGGAGCAACTTACCTACATTGCGCTTACCCACCGCCAAGTGCCGATTCGGACTGTTTTTGTAGGTGATTTTGCCTTTTCTGATAGTAGGGATTCCTGAAGGACATTGCAACCGAATTCATTTCGATCTACGGAGAAGCGGCCTATACTGCGCAGCCGTTCTGTTTTACGGCGTTTGCTAGTTCCCTCAACGTGATGATGGTACGAAAAATGCAATTCTTACTCCCAGAACCGTTACAACAACATAGAATCTGATCACTCAAAGCGGGTACTCAGCCAAATGGATGACATCAAAGACGTGATGATCAGTAATATCGACAAGATTCTTCAGCGTGGAGAAAAACTAGAATTAGTCATTGATAAGACGAATGATCTCGCGGATGCTGCCACAGTAGCTGCTACTTAGAAATCACACTCAACGATAGTTGTTCCGAAGAGATGCAGCCCATCTCAAACGTCACACACTCTTCGAAAGTTGGAAGCTCTATGCGCTCATCGTCATTATTATCGTCATCATTATTTCTCTGTTAATCATTCCCATTATTTCGAATACAAAGAGCGATTCGATTGTTTGTTGCAAACCCAGAACCTAGGAGTCGAGGAATCCAGAACCTAAGGGTCGAGGAACCCAGAACCTAGGAGTCGAGGAATCCAGAACCTAAGGGTCGAGGAACCCAGAACCTAGGAGTCGAGGAATCCAGAACCTAAAAGTCGAGGAATCCAGAACCTAGGAGTCAAAGAACCCAGAACCCACAAAAAGACCTATTCACCCCATTGCAATACACCTCATTCCAACAAACAAAACACATGATACACCAATCTACAACGTGCCCTTTTCCTTTTCCTCCTTGTAGAACTGACTAATCATCTGCATCAACACAATCAAATGCCGCTGCGCCTTCAGTTCGGCTCGCGCCTGCGTTTTCGCAAATCCAGGAACGCCGGCATCGTGCAGCCAGTCCTGGAAGTCTTCAATCAGCTACCCATCAACACCTTTCTCTCTCTCACACACCTTTTTCATTCGCTGCTCTTCATTGGAATACTGCCCTTGCATCTTCTGCTCGCACTTCGCCATCATTTCCTCTTTGCTCAAATCGTAAAGCTTGTACTTTCGATAAAGCTCGTCTATCGATCACAAATCGATCGCACTCTCACCGAAACAACGCTGTTGTGAAAGATCTAGTTCCTCCATCAGTGAGTATTGCATGTCCTTTTCTTAACAAAACAAAGCGAACGATACTCTCATTAAATCAACCATTTCGATCACTTGGGGATCGGTGAGAACCACGGCTAAGTAATACAAAATGCGATTGTCGATCTCGGGAGCCTCTTCTCGAGCGTCAATTTTGTGGATATCGGGAGGCGGTTCTTGAAACAACGCCATCTGGCGATGTTCACGATTAATGTCTCGCTCACTCACCTCTAGTCGTGAATTCACAAAGCAAGCGAGTACCACTCATTGCATTCACATCTACAGTTCCGTTACACGTTAAGATTTGGAAAATGTTTGACACCGACGAATTCCCGTTACTGGGAGGAGTGGTGTGTTTCACCTCTCGCTTCAGCTCTTCCACGGTTAGGCTGTTTCTCCCCATGCTTCGCTCGAACTTTACCCAGTAGTCCCAGATTTGTTGCTCCAAGTTGTGCTAACCGTTATTCTGCAGTTCGAAAGCATACATCCACATGCTCTAACGACTTTTTGAAGAGCTTGCGAGCCCTTTCATATTTTCCTATGCGAATGAAGAAGTTTATGTAGGCTTTCCAGAAAACAGGGTCACGACGGCAAAAGTCGAGCTTCATCGCTTCCTCAAACACCAAATTGGCTTGCTTCTTCTGCCCCATCTGGATTTCCATAGCCGCCCTGGAAATGTACAATTCGCGTATCTCTTCTTCATAGCCAGTTCGTTCTCTCACAGAACTGCAGCGCTTTGTGTCAAGAATCTTTGCCTCCAAAGCTTTCTTGTAAATCTCACGAGGAACGTCCAAAGAGGTGGGATTTTTAGCAAGCGCCCTATTTGCCTCCTCCTCCGTTCTTTGAACGAATAAAGAAATCATTTCGAAAAGATTTGTGAATTGCGCGTTTGAGTGGTCTTTCTCAACTTGGTACTGGCTTGCTACACGACAGTGAAATTATGGGATTGTGCAAACATGGTTGAAATCGTAACGAATCAAATAGTGGACACTTTCAAAGAGCCTATAAAAAGTTGCATCAAAGTTCAAAGCAACGTGCTGTTTACATAATACATTACTATTCGTGACATAGCTCCCCCTCGTCTGCAATCACCATTTCCTATTATCCTCGGGAGAATAGTGAAAGAATTCGTTAAGAGTTTCAAAGAATCTTTTGAAACGTTTGTTACTTTTTTTCGAAAATGGAAAACTCTGAAACGAAACCTAAGAAAGCATGTCCTTGGGCAAAGGTAGCTGTCCCAAAGCCCACGATCTCTTTTGCTGAAATCATGAAAGAAGAGGAAGCGCACAAAGAAGCGGAACGTAAAACTCGTAAGAGATAGAGCTTAATATTATGCGCAGAAGAGTATTTAAAGTATGAAGCGGGTAGCAGTTTAGGATGGGTCGTAACTAGATGAAAGTTTAGCAGCCGCTCTCAGTCTTCAAGAAGAGCACGACCGACTCAGGGAAACTCCAAAGGAACAAGAGCCAGGTAGTTTTAGGCTTTTCAGCTGATCTAGAGGACACCTCTGAAGACTACGCGCTCGCCATGCAATTACAGTTTGAAGAAGAACGACAATACCAGATTGACCATGCAAAGGATAGAAGCGGCTCAAGATGTGAGTTTTATAGAAGACAATTCATCAAAGACAAAACCGAAAGTCCAAAAACCTACGGTGTAATCCCCTTAAGTGATCTTTCTCCCTCCCTCCATTTCGATGACGAGGATACAAGACACTACGTAGGTGTGAACAGCCACTACGGCGGAAAAACCAACGACAAGAACGTTGTTCTCCCCACAGTAGCCATTCCGATTGCATGCCACCTAGAAAACCACCAAACACGATAAATACTTTGTAGGCAAGGTGAACATATCCATTCCCACAATCCTAGCCACTTAACCCCAGAGTGCTCGTCTCCAACATGTCATCACCAACGCAGGGAACTTGGAACAATTCTCCATCGACGACAAAAGCTTAGTGAAAATGCGGAACTACGTGAATCATCGGCGAAGCCGCGAAATCCACGAGAAAAAAGACCCGGATTGGGTGGACTTTGTGTTCAACGACGCGCAACTGGTTTGCCTCCACCAGGTTTCAATCCACTTTTTTTGTTGTTGATTTCGCGTAGTGGATCGTAAAGGGCTATTTCGGGAATTACGTGGACATCATTCAGAACGGACATGAATCCGACATCATCTCCACCGTACTTTTCTCATTTTCCGCTTGATTCCTCGCAGTACGACGGAGTGAACGACAAATGGATGTGCGTGAAGAAGTTCCGAAAGCCCTACGCCTCCAAAGCCGCCGACGAATTGCCGCCTCTCGATCCCGACTTGCCGCGCGAATTCCGTCTCGCGCAGCTCGAATTCGAACACTTGAAGCGATTGGCAAGGCTGGGAATCGCTTGTCCGGAGCCGATCGATCAGAAAGACTGTCTGGTTTTGATGGAGATGATCGGCGATGGCGATGGACCTGCTCCCACCCTCAAAGAAGCGCTCAGCGCGTTCCCTGAGATCTGGGAAGACACGCTGGTGCAGTGCGTGCGCCTGCTGCGCGATCTGTACATGCGAGCCGGACTGGTTCACGGGAATATTAGCGAGAAAAAATTGCTGTTTGGACACGGAATCGATTGAACCGTAGCATGTGGGGCGGAACGATCTATCTCACCGGATTGGCGAAGGCGGTGGAAAAGGACGACGAACAGGCAGAGCAGATGCTCAGGCGCGATATTCACTCGATTTTGTCGTTCTTTAACCGAACTGGATCATTCCCGAACCTCAAGGAGTTGAAGGAAAAGACGTTTGAGTATGTGACTGCGACAATGGAGGAGCTGGAGCGCGTGGATTTCTTCGAGTATTTGGAAAGTCAGCTTTGTTGTTCTGTTTGTTGAAAAACCGCGGAATTCCGATTTGCTGAGAAAGTGCATATTTTCAGCATGAAGAGCGCTTTCGCTGTTTTCCTATTTCTCGTCGGTAGGGTGTGCGTTGTTCGGAATCATTCACAGCTTTCTCCCAAGCGTATTACATCAACTTGGAATATGTTTGCTTCTTGTCTTTTGTTTTGATCGACTAGCAACAACCTTTTTGTATCATTGAAAAGCAGGTAGATGCCCAGCCTATTGTCTTCAAATATCGTAATTACGACCTCTTCTTGTATAAGCCGGACTTCGATGACGGTGACGATTTGGTAACACAGGAAGTCCTTGGTGATTATTCTAGAATGCCAAAATGTATGTCGTGACTCCCCTCGGAGCCAGGTTCATGGAAACGAACGCCAAGGACTCTGTTTTTTGGTCTCTTCCTCTTTCTCACCGTTAGGGAAAGCTTGTTTTTACCCCTTACGAAAGTGGAATGTACAAGATCTGTGTGGAGCTATCTCGCAAGCTTCCAGACGAGTTCTGGGAATATGGCAACCCTCTGGTAGTCGAATAAGCGCCCATTCATTGTCAGAGATTCTACTTCACCGTGGAACATGGCATCCAGCAAGTGAACACGACGAAACTCGCGAAAGTGGAAGACATCAACGAGGTGGATAAAACGATCAACTCGCTGGTCACGGTGCTGAAGGAGATGACGCAGGAGCTGAAGTATCAGAATGTGAGCTTTTTTGATTGAATTTGAACGAAAGGCGAAGGAAAAAGAAATGCGAGACGAAGACGATAGCGATAACCGAATGATTTTTGTGTGGAGTATGTTGGAGGCGTTGGTGATGGTGGTCGTGGCGATTGTGCAGGTCCGGTCGATTCGAAGCTATTTGAAGCAGAAGATGATTATTATGTAACTGTGCCTTTATGTGCTGATGTTTGCTTTACAAACGAAAATGGATATAGGAAACAGGGTGTAGAGTCATAAATTACAGCGAATCGGTCTTCTTCAGCTCCCAAGGCTTCATGTCGAGCGGACACTCTTTCTTCGTCTTCAACCAGCGATCAATACAATGGGCGTGGAATGCGTGGTTACACACACCCCATGCAACCTGAAGATTACGCGAATTGAACAAACCTACTTTACAGTCACCCTTCTCTCCTGAATTCACCTTGGCCTGGCAGTCGATGCACAACGTCATCAGTTTGCTTCGACAAATAGCACACGTGTCAACATCCATATTCCACGACCACATCACGACGGCGTTCCAATCCTTGATCTTAAATCGCCCCGTCTGCTCCTCCTTGTTCTCTACTTCCATGTTCCAACAAAATTCTGTCAACAAACATCCCACTCCAAATTCTCGCTACAACCCAGCGATTAGTTCTTCTTCTCTCTCATCTCCTTCTCCTCGATGATGCTGAGCTTCACTCCGTTGCCCTTAGGCAGAGACACCATGGGCTGGTTGCCCTCGCCGATGATGAACACGTTGCTCAGACGGGTGGCGAACTCGTGACCCGCCGCATCGCGAACGTGCACAATATCGAAGGATCCGAAGTGTCTGTCACGATGGACGATCACTCCCACACGACCAATGTTGTGTCCCTTCGTGATGAAGCACAGGTTGCCCACCTCGAACTTCACATGGCCGATCACCTTGTTCGTCTTCAGATCCACCTTCACGGTGTCGTTCACCTTCACGGTGGGGTCAGGGAAGCGGATCGTGCGAGCATCGTGAGTCACGATGAACGGGATCTTCTTGCTCGACAGCTGGCGCTTCACAACCTTGCACAGCTTGTACTGAGCCTCGTTCTCGTCGATGCGGTGAAGGACGAAGCGGCCCTTCACGTCGTACAACAGACGGAAACGGTCGGAAGAACCCTCCAGAGTCACCACATCTGAAACTAAGATTCGATTCTTTGCTAATTACCCATGAAACCGGCGGGGAAGGTAGAGTCCGTGCGGATCTTGCCGTCCACCTTGACCAGACGCTGCATGCAGATCATCTTGACCTCGTGATTGGTCAGAGCGTACTTCAGACGGTTGCGGATGATCAACAGCAGAGGAAGGCACTCTCTCTGCTTGTGGGGACCACAGCTAGGCTTAGGAGCCCACACTCCTCCCATCTTGTTAAGCATCCAGTGCTTGGGTGCATTCAAACGCTTCAAATGCTTCTTAGGACCGCGAGTCTACGATTGCGGTGAGAAACCGTGCTCTCCACAAAATCGGTCATCGTATGGGTAGTACGACCGTACTTATTCACAGTAATTCAACTTACCATTTTGGAGATTCAATTCTTTATACAATTGCGTAGTCAATCGATTGGTACCCCTTGATTCTGTTTTTATACCTACTCTTCAATTTACCCCCTACACATTTTTCAATCTCCTTGATTCGAAACTTATTAAACGTATTCGACCGTGAAATAGGATTCACTAGATTCACATCATCCATCGAATGAGGAATAGAAAGGAAATGGTCTTGAGTCATTGTTTTTTCGAAAAGATGTGGTTAATGATCGAGTATTCGTGTGTATGTACGTTGTGCAACATAATACAATACAAAGCGGAGCATATTGATCTCCTTTTTCATTTCCAGAAATAACCGTTATTTTGTTCCATTTTTCTTCCAGACTAAGAAACGTTGTTGTTTGACTGCTTAATGTACGTAGTGTGCGAGTTGATTGCTGCGTCAATGGAGACGGCATTCATGGAATTGGAAAGCTTATATTTGTGTAGATGAGACATCTTGCTGCTTACCTTATGCTGGTCCTCGGTGGAAACGAGAAGCCCACCGTACGTGCTTTACCGCTGCTATTTTATTATACCTAGGCTGAGAACATCAAGTCCGTGCTGGAGGCCGTTGGTGCTGAGAGCGACGACGAGAAGATCGAGAAGCTCCTTGCTGACCTCGAGGGAAAGAACGTGGAGGAGCTGATCGCCTCGGGTCTGGACAAGCTGGTGTCCATTCCCACCGGAGGTGCTGCTGCCCCCGCTGCTGGAGCTGCTGCCCCTGCTGCTGAGGAGAAGAAGGAGGAGGCGAAGGAAGAGGAAGAGGAGGAAGAGGAAGACATTGATATGAGCGGAGGCGGTCTGTTCGGTGATGACGACGACGACTGGTAAACAATGGATGACCGATTGCAGTCGAAGTGTTTGTTACAAACAATGTAGAAATATGAGTCCCTAAGAATATCCAATCCTGTGTATTCATTCGCTGGCTGTGCGGACTGCGCCGACTGCGCTGGCTGTGGAGCAACTGCAGACATGAAAGGGTTGAATGTCGCTGTTTGCATAGGATATTGCATTGGATTCGGCATCGCTGTCTGCATTGGATTCGCCATCACTGTCTGCATTGGGTTTTGACGTGACTTAGAGTTTGGCAGCGAAGGTATAACATAATCTCGCTGGTAGTCAACGATCTCGGACTCGTCGACCACTTCTCCGCCTCGTAGATCCTCCGTACACTCGATCGAAACGATCTCTTTTTCGTTGGGCTCCTCGTCATACACATTGGAAGCATCAGTTCCGATGTGGTTGAGTTGAGCGGGCAAAATGTACTGGATCGTTGTGTTGTTCATGTAAACTTCGTCGTTTTCTTGCAAATGAGGATCTTCCATGTTCTCTGGCCAGCGCAAAATGTAAAAGGGATGTTCCACTTGACCAAACACTTCCATGATACGACCAATGGGCTCTAGCGTCTTCTTGTACAATACTGTATTCTCTTCAACAGCCCTAGGATTGACACTTTCCAAACGAGAGATACTTTGCATTAAGGCCTGCATCGATGACATAGCTGCCTTCCAGCACGTGTGAAACATATCCGGCGTGGATCAGAACCGCGCTTGTATCCAATACCTCTGTAATCTCATCCACTTTCAATTCTTCCTGTCCAATCTCGTGCTTTGTGCCTGTTTATTACACAAGATCGTGAAAATCTACGAGGAATACTGTCGGGTTCCTCATCACTCTGCATTTCTCTCAGCTGCTCTTCAGCAATCATCCGCTCTTCCTGAACCTCTTGTTCCCCACGGGATTCGACGACTTCCATCACAGGCGCTTCATCCACCGAACTATCCCAGTCACTACTGATATCGGATTTGTCCAGATCATCCAGATCAATTTCGTTTGCGTCCATCGGGGAAAGAAAGAGCCTTTCAAACAAACACTGCAAACTAAGAAGATAGAATATAGCGAACAAGAATAGATATAATGCTAATAACCAGCGTAATAACGAGGAAGTAGAACTGCTTCCACTTCACTTCCTGCGAGTTCTTTTTAAACTTGAACGAAAACAACGACAATCGCTTCGTTTTCTCATCTCCCTCCAGCTCCTCCTTCTACACCTCACTCCTCCGACCCATCCAAACCATCACACACAGCTCATTGTACCGATCGGCGAGCAGCCTCTTCATTTCCTTCACTGTTTCGCGTTCGTCCTTCACATTGATCAAATTACACGCCTACATCGCACGGCCCCCTCATTTCTACCTCGTCCTCGTCCTGATCCAAATCGAACAGCTCCCACTCCCATTCCTTCTCTCTCTCCTCTGTAAGAGCTCGGCAATTGCTCGCAGAGCGCGGATCACTCGAGTAATAGCAGAGCTTCATTCGTCGATTCGCGTCTTTCTGGCCTTGGCGATGAAGCTGCGCGATGAGAACAGCGATCGATCGGCTCTGCAGCACGACGTGGTTTGTGGGTCCTTCGAAGATGGGGAGGACGCAATGCGGCGAAGGCGAGGAAGGATGAATGGGCATCGCCACGTCTTCGGACTGGTAATAAATCGAGACAGCCGTGTCGTCGTGGAACAGATTCCGGCCAGGCAGCGGCAGGACCTTCTTATGTGTGATCCGAAGCCGTTTCTGCGTCTCGATCACATCCACGCCCGCGAGGGACAAGAGCGTCGGAAGCACGTCGATCGAGGACGTCATCCGCGCGAGCTCGTCGCGAAGCATCGCGCGCTGACTGTTGAATCGCTGAGGCAAGTGGAGGATGAAGGGAACCTGGATAGCGCCTTCGTAGCCGCAGTAGCAACTGCCCCAGAGCCCGTGGTCGCCGACGAGATTGCCGGTGGTGGAGGTGAAGAGAATGAGCGTGTTGGACGCATCGCTCCGCAGAACTTCTTGGAGCAATTCGCCCAGAAGATTGTCCAGTTTGGCGACTTGGGAGTGGTAGTTTTTGCTGAAGGAGGAATCGGGAGAAGCCACTTGGGAACAATAATCGCGATAGTGTTTCTGCACGCGTGGCGTGTCTTGATCGGAAGACGAGGTCGATGCGAAGGACGGCTTGAAGGATGTAGGCGAAGACGAATAGAGCGGCGAGGCGCACGAGTCGTCATTCTCCGCGCCCAATCGATGCAAATTCGAGCAGGAGAGCGACCCCGTGAGTCCCAACGACCGATTTTCCTTCTGCAGAATCGAGAAATCGGCCCAGGACCCGTGGATCGGAGATAAATCGTTCTCTCGCACCACCATCTGCCAGTTTCCCTCGTTCTCCACGCGCGGCATGATGTCCGGATAGCTCACCACCAGCGCCCACGGCGGCGGGCAGCTCCCCCGCATGCTCTCCGAGCTCATCACGCTCTCGCGGCGGCGAATGCACTCCACCGCGTCCGTCGTGATCTTGATGCATCGCTCGTACCAGCTCGCGTCGTCGTGCGACTCCCACTCCGTGAACCCGTACGGCTGCAGGTCCTCATCGCTCCGATCCACGCCCAGCAGCTCCAAGAGCGGGTGCTCCTGCATGGCCTGCACCTCGCTGAGGCCCCACTCCCCCTTGTACACCACGTCGTACCCCACTGCGTTCAGGTAGTGGCCCAGCGTCGGGACCTCGTCGATCTTCAGCTCGCCGCGGATTCCCTGCTTCTCCAGCGACGTCCGCACGCCGTGGATCGGCGGGAGCTGCCCCGTGAGCAGCGTGGCGCGGCCTGGACACTCGCCGCCGGCTGCGGTGTAGTGGTGGTGGAAGATCGTGGAGGAGCGAGCGAAGTGCGCCAGGTTCGGGAACTGGACCGGCTGCCCGATGGACGGACTCGCGGAGCGGTTGGAGCGGTTGGAGCGGTCCGGAGAGCTCGGTTCCACGGTTTCTCCGTTGAGGGAGTCGGTCTCCCAGTCGAGAAGGCCGGGAGAGGAGGGTCGGATGTAGCTGCCGCTGAGGTCGGACTCAGGGAAGGAGGGGATAACAAGGGGATGGTCGTCGCAAGGGAAAATGTCGCTGCATGGAATGTAGCGGCGAATGGAGGCCTCGACCTCCTTGTTGGAGAGGCCCGAGGTCAGGATGAGGAGGATGTTGGGGTGGTGGGGAAGGGCTTTCTTCTCTTCGAGCAGAAGGCGCTCGTTGTTCACCGAGGAGACGAACGCATCGAGAGCGGCGTAGACTTCGTCGTAGGCAAAGCGGATTCCTTCTTGGGAGAGGCGGTCGGAGTGGTTCTTTTCTATGTCTGCAAGAGAATTCTACGCATTAGACGACTTTGAAAAAGAGTGCCTTTATCAAAACAACGGATGGTTCTATTTGGAGGTAGATCGCCTTCTTCTTTGAAATATCGATCGTGTCCACACAGTTCTCCAACATATCGAATAGGTCACAAAAGCACAGGTAGAGCCGACGAATACTTCGAATTACCTTGGATAGTTCATTGGCGCAATGTCCAGGGGAAGAAAGACCGCTTGACGACAAATTGCCTCTAAAAATAACCGATTCAGATGCAAAACGACTCGGACGTCCTCAGATTCGTGTTGGCGGATTGCTTGGTGGCGCGAGCTTCCAAAAGACAAACTGCGTTATCTACTGCGCGTGTAAAGTCTGTTAGATTTGGTATTTTATCCTTAATTGACTATTTGCTCAGAAATCACGACCCATGAGTACAGGTGGTAAATGAGACAGAGTTACCATTAATGTATCGATATCCATGTTGTCTTACTTCTCTGAATGCCTGGCCAATGTTCCAGTTCCCACCAAAGAATACTAGTAAGAGGAATAATCAAAATACAACATGCTCTGCTATTTTGAATTGTTATTTAGACATGCACAAGATTCCTATTCCCATCCATTTTTAAAAAACAAATAGAGTAAACACTGAAAATGCATTTCAGAACGAGTTAACAACATCCACCAAATGAACCTTTCTTTCCGGAATACTGATATTCATATTTTCACACAGGGCAATTGCCAGTAAATGCTCGCACTAACTTTCAAAATACCACTCCCATCCCTCACCATTTGTATTGAATTATTCTTCGTTAGATTCGCCTTGAATTCAGGACACGTACAGTGATGTCGGAGACAATAGTGCACTTCTTCGCCTCTCTCCTTCCTCTAAGCAATCACATGAAGATAAAACTACTCCTACTCCTACTCCTACTCCTACTACAGTAAACTCATAGAACACTTTATTCCCCGGAAAGGTCAAGACTTTCCGAATTTGCCTATTATCGATAATCACTCCCGCTCGTTGCAGCAATCCATTGTCTATCACTAGACTAATATCTTTCAACGTATTTTCCGAATCTTTTCATCACGCTCATTATCCAAATCTACGAGCCAAAATGTGCTCCAGAATGTCCTCTACGGAGGGCAGATATTTGACGACACTATTGGTAGACAGTGTAAAATGATTGTTGAAAAATGCTGTGGGTGTAGTGGGTACACGATTCAATATCTCCATACTCCCTAAGAGTCTAGGAGGGATTAGATTCATTTTGCGTTTGCGTGTCGTCCCCCTAACACAGGGTTATATCTATAATCATTTGTATGTCGTACTTCATTTCTGGATTCTGTTCATTATTCTTGGATCAAGAGGTCTTCTATATATAAATCATGGATATTATCAAGAAGGTCACTCAGACTACCAGCAAATTCTTTGGAGATAACAAGAAAGGTTCGATTCCTTTTGGGTCGCCTAATTTGTAGAAGAAGTAAATGAGCTGAAGCAGCAGCTTGCCTCCAACAGCGTCGATGAGAAAAAGGACGCTTTGAAGAAGGTCATTGCCTTGATGACTATCGATAAGAACGTCTCTGATCTTTTCATTGATGTCATCAACTGTATGCAGCAGGGAGATATCGAGATGAGAAAGCTTTGCTACCTGTACCTCATCAACTACGCCGATGAGCAGCCCGATCTGGCTCTTCTGGCCGTGCAGTCCTTCATTCGTGTACGTCTCGTCGTTCCAGTTCACTTTTAGGATGCTGCTGATCAGAATCCTTTGATTCGTGCTCTGGCTGTGCGTACCATGGGTTGCATCCACGTCGAGCGTATTTCTGAATACCTGACGGAGCCTCTGCGTACCAGCATCACCGATCCTGTACGTTTTTCGTTTTGGGTGTGGTTGCTAATGCGTAGGATCCGTACGTGCGCAAGACCGCTGCCATGTGTATCTGCAAGCTGTACGATGTGAGCCCCACGCTGGTGGAGGAGCAGGGCTTCATCGAGTCTCTGCACGACATGATCTCCGATGAGAACTCCGCTGTGGTTGCGAACGCGATCGCCGCGCTGTGCGAGATCCAGGACAACTCTCCGCGCGAGGTGCTGAAGATCTCGACGTCGATGCTGCAGAAGCTGATGGTGGCGCTGACGGAATGCACGGAGTGGGGCCAGGTGTACATTCTGGACTGCTTGGCGCGCTACGAGCCGCGCGACGAGCGCGAGGCGGAGGCGATCATCGAGCGAATCCAGGCCCGTCTGAACCACAGCAACACGGCGGTGGTGCTGAGCGCAATCAAAGTGATCATGGTGTACATGGAGCACATCACGAGACAGGACAGCATCCGATCGCTGGTCCGCAAGATGGGCCCGCCACTGGTGACTCTGCTGTCCAGCGAGCACCCCGAGATCCAGTTCGTGTCGCTGCGCAACATCAACCTGGTGGTGCAGAAGCGTCCGGACGTGCTGCAGACGGAGATCCGCGTGTTCTTCTGCAAGTACAACGACCCGATCTACGTGAAGAAGGAGAAGATGGACATCATGGTGAAGCTGGCCACCGAGCGGAACATCGAGCAGGTGCTCACCGAGTTCAAGGGCTACGCCCAGGAAGTCGATGTGGAGGTGATCCGCAAGGCGGTGCGCTCGATCGGCCGTCTGGCCATCCGCTTGGAGAAGGTGTCGGAGCGCTGCGTGAAGGCGCTGCTGAGCCTGATCCAGGAGAAGACGAACTACGTGGTGCAGGAGGCGATCATCGTGATCCGCGATATCTTCCGTCGCTATCCGAACAAGTACGAGTCGATCATCGGCACGCTCTGCCAGAATCTGGACACGCTCGACGAGCCCGAGGCCAAGTCCGCGATGATCTGGATCATCGGAGAGTACGCGGACCGCATCGACAACTCCGAAGAGCTGCTGGAGACCTTCCTGGACGGCTTCGACGACGAGCCGATCAACGTGCAGCTCTCGCTGCTCACCGCCACGGTGAAGCTGTTCCTGCAGAAGCCCAACGAGTCCAAGGACCTCGTCAAGGACATCCTCAACACCGTCACGCAGAACTGCGATGATCCCGATCTCCGCGATCGCGGCTACATCTACTGGCGATTGCTGTCGCAGGACCCGGAGACGGCCGCGGAGATCGTGCTGGCGGAGCACCCGGTGATCAGCGATACGGCGGAGGGCGTGGAGTCGTCGCTGCTGGATCTGCTGATTGCCAATCTGTCCACGCTGGCAGTCATCTATCAGAAGAACCCGGATCAGTTCGTACGCAAGGCGGAGATCCACGAGAATAGAGAGGAGGACGATGACGATGAGGATGAAGACGACGACGATGATGATGATGACGATGATGACGATGACGATGACGATGATGACGACGATGACGACGATGACGACGATGAGGATGATGACGAGGAAGAGGAGGAAGAGGATGACGACGAGGAGGAGGAAGAGGAATATGATGAGGATGACGAATAAATTGCGTACTCGATTGTTTGTTGAATCAGAAACACGCATCGTGAATCGGACAAAGCGCCATCGAGGGATTCAAACAAACACGGGAGTGTGGATTCCCCATTTGATTCACTCGCTTCGCTGGACTTTCGTTCCTCTCCCCATTCCGCTTCGTTGCACTCGCGTCAAACTCCTCCCCGAACGCCTGCACTTCGTCCCAATCAATATCCTTCAGTTCTTCCTCCAGCTCCTCCATTTCTCGCTCCGCGATCGCTTCCTTCCCCGTCCCTTCCTCCGCCTTTTCGCTCGCATGCGTCTTGCAGGAAAGCGTGAAAACCACGCCTTCGTTCGTCGCCATCGCGTCCAGCAGACACCCGGCGTCCTGCGCGCACGTTATGTGATAATACTTCGAGCACGCAGGCTCGCAGCACTTCACCGGAACGCCGACCGTCTTCCCGCACACCGCACAGCTCTGCTTCCCCTTCGCGTTCAGAACGGGACGAATCTCGCAGGGCTGCATGGTGTCGATGTTCTGAAAGAGGAGGCTCGGATTCCACGTCACACAGGCGATGTGCACCCAGATTCCGTCCACGCTCAGCTTCATTCCGCCTCCTTCTCGCCCGCACAAGCCACAAACCACAGAAGGAAGTCCGGCAGCGCAGTTCTAACGATGATTCAGAGAGAGGAAAGCTACGTCGCACTTCCAGGCAGACGAAGGAGGAACCGAGAGACCGTAGCAGCTGGCGTGAACGAGGACTTTGCAGGACTGGCAGCAGAGAAGCGGGTTGTTTTCGTCCTGTGATGCATCTCTGCAGATCGAGCAGACTGGTGGGGAGGGCTCTGCGTTCGCCGCGAGTTCCTTTTCGAAGAGGTCTAAGTCCTCGAGGTTGATGCCTAGATCGCTGCCGTTGATCGTGGAGTTTGTGACCAGCGAGATCGAAGAGCATTCCTTCACTTCTTGCTTGATCGCGTCTGCAGAGTGCGGAATCGAAGTCAATGTCGGTTGTGCAGGAGGAGGAACAGTCGAAACGGCGTTGATCGGAGTAACCGAAGCTGAAATTGTGGCGGCATTAGAATTGGAATTGGAATTAGAATTAGAATTAGAATTGGAATTAAAATTAGAATTAGAATTGGAATTGGAACTCGCTGCTTTAGTCGAAGTCGAAACAGCATTGGGAACGATGGGAGCTTGCTCTGCACGAGGAGAAAGCATCGCATGGTTTCCTGAGGATGGCGGACATCGAATGGGCGCCAAGGCCGCGCGAAGAGGCGATTGAATCGGCGTCTGATTGCCTTTGAATGGCGATTGAACGGGTATTTGCTTGTTTCTCAAAGGAGATTGAATAGGCGTTTGATTTCTATTTCGCAATGGCGATTGAATGGGCGTTTGGTTTCTGTGGAAGTCGAATCGAGTCGATTCGTTGAGTTTTGAATTCACTGCCATGGTTTGAATCGGAGCTGGTAACATCGCACACGCCGTGTTAATATGTCTTCGCAGACTCTCCGCGTCTTCGCAGAGCGCCAAACAAAGCGGACACACCACGCTACTCCTCTCCACAACCTTCGAAACCGCATTCTCCACGCCTTGTTTCTCCATTTTGCTTCGTGGAAACAACTCATTGATCACTTCTCGACTCAATGGAGGCGGTTTCACCGCGGGATAATCGAATTCTCCAGCGAGATCGGGCAGTGGATGCTGCTGCGATTCCAACGTCGAGCGAAACACGGGAATCAGAAGCGAAGAATTCGAACTTGAAGTATTCGTTCCATCTCGACAAACCGGCTTCGGAGCCGCTGAAACCGCTGAAACCGCCGAAACGGTCAAAGGGGAAACCGTGGAATTCTCCAAAGGAGGCAAGGAAGGCTTGGGAAGATTCGCAGAAGCTTCTCTTGGGTTGATTGACGTTTTGGGAGGATTGGCTGAAGGAGGAACGATCGGGAAATCATCGGAATCGGAGGAGGTTGACTTGTCATCGCCGAGAACGATTGGCTCATTTGGAAGCGGGTTTTTGGTTGTGGGTTGAGGAGGAGGAATGAGTTGGGGAGGAGAAGTGGAGGGGACAGAAGAGGAAAGAGGAAGAATGGAAGAGGAGAGCGCTAGAATGGGTTCGTCTTCGGAACTGTCGCTTTCGCTGGGTGTTGGGTGAGATGAAATGGGTTTCGAGGGCAAAAGCTCGTTCTTTGAATCGTTTTTGTTCGATTGGAGGGGACGATTGGATTGGAGAGTTGTGGATGGCGGCTTCACTAACGGCTCGTTATCCGATTCACTGGATTCCGAATCCGATACATGATTGGCTTGTTGATGGATTGGATGGGATTGAATGGAGGAGGGCTTCAATTCAATGAGCGGTTTATCGTCTGAATCGCTTGATGAATTCGGCGCATTCATTTCATTCTCTGATTCATTCTGTTGATTCAGTTGATTTGCGATCGGTTTTGCCCTCACCAGAAAATCATTCTCTGATTCACTGGAATCATTTTCAATCTCACTTATTTCACTCATTTCACTCATTTCACTTATTTCACTCATTTCATTTTGATGATTCAATTTCGTCTCATTTCCATTTTCTTTTCCATTTTCATTCACCAATGGATTCACATTTTCAGAACAACTACTCAACTCTGCCGATTCATCATCCTCCGAAATGTCAATAATCTCACTCACTTCCTCTCCTTTCCTTTCCTCCACTTTGCGTCGTTTCTCCTCCATCCCACTGGGTCTCGATTCTTCCTCCACTCCATTCTTTCGATTCATCAACGCTTCGTCCGCTCTGCGTTTCACACTATCCAACACACTTTCGATCGGAGGCATTCTACCCCTCATTCACTCCACAATGAAACCCACTTTTCGTCCATCGATTCGAAGTCATCGCTCCCCGAAGAAATCGACGTGTTCATGATCTCATTCAGCAGCGATTCCATCGTTCGGCGGCTCTGCCGATTCTCCGCATTTCCGGAATAACTCGGCAACTATTCCATGAACCCACTCACCAACCCAAACGCTCCGATGAATCGATTTCTCATCCAAAAGCCACGTTCCGGTCAGCGATTCCGGATACGCCTCTTTCCACTTCTCGCCTTCAATAAACGATTTCATTCGAAGCCACACGCCCCATCGATTCTCCTTCTCTTCTCCGCTCCCCTCCGCTTTCCGCATCGCCAACGACACATCGATCGTTCCTCGCAATAACAGCGACGTCAGCTCCTTTCCCTGCGCCGACTCCCACCACGAATTCTCTCTTCGCTTTCTCTCATCACTCATCACGTAATGATTCACCGTCCGGCTTCGCTTCTTCGGCGTGTGTCCGCCGATCTGACTGTAATGAAACTCTGAGATGTGCAGCGATTCCTTCACGCATTCCGGATGAAACCCACTCGTAAACAGCGTGTCCATGTGAGGACAGAACCGAAGCAAATCTCCGCGCGTCTTCAGCGTTTTCGTGATCGCCGTGTACTTCTGGAGACTTCGCCGATGCTTCTGATACTCCGCTCCTTCCGTGAGAAGCATCACTACGCGTCCAGATCGCTTTCTTCCCGTTCTTCCCTTCCGCTGCAGCAGGCGCGTCGAGGAGGAAATTCCCTCATAACACACCAACAAATCCACTTCTCCGATATCCAGTCCTTCCTCCGCGATGCACGTCGCGACCAGCACGTTAAACTTCCCCGCTTTAAAGTCACGCAGAATCTCCTGTTGCTGCTTCTGCGACTGTCCGTTCACTTGAATAAACGGCACCGAAGTGACCGCAGGCAGCGACTCGCGACCCCCAAAATACGACGAGATCGTTCGATGCGCGGTATTCGGAACGATTTCGTCGGGATACAAGTGTTCTGCGGTCGGCTCGCCGTCTTCACCCACCATCGCCACGTCCGTGTTCCGCTTCTGCTGTCCCACAAACGCAGTGGCTCGAATCATCTTCTCGCCTCGCAGAAAGTTGAGGATCTCCTGCACCGAGCTGCGATACTGAGCAAACACAATCACGCGCGTTTCGCGTCCCGCCGCCGCGTTTCGTCGAAAATGATCGATCAGAAACTCGCGAAGACGCTCGAGCTTCGGGTGGACGTACTCCATTTTCTGCACGCCCTGGAAGATTCGGTTGTAGTACTCTTTGAATTTGGAGGACGTGACCAACTGCACCTTCGCAGGATTCGGTTTCTCGACGGCGGTTTCTTGAAACATCACGCCTAGCGTCTGGAAATGATGTGTTTGAGCAATCCAAACCTCCACGAACGCGCCGACTCCGTACGTCGACAGCACCGCAGATGCCTGCGTCATGCTCATCAGCAATTTGATGTCGTTGAGAGCTTCCATTCGGCGCGGCCCGCTCACTCCGGACACTTTTCCGCTGATAATCCGGCTCTGGAGATCGAGAAGCATCATCTTGTTGACCTTTCGCGGGTTTCGTTCGGGCAACAACCCCAAATTATTCAATCGCATGAGCGGATTCAGCACGAACCCCATCCATTCATCGATCATTTTCTGATAACGCGCGTTGAGCTTGACCACAATCTCCTCTTCGAGCACTTCCTTCAAGTATTTCCGAACGTCAGGGTCTTCGCGCGTTCGCAGACAAATCGTGTTGATGTCCAGATTATTAATCACGCTCTGGATCGATTCGATGTCCTGCCCGGGCGTCGCACTCAACCCCAACACTCGGAAATGATGATGAATCTGCATTAATCGCTGCACCACCACCACATACGCGTACTGTTTCTGCGCTTTGTGGCATTCGTCCACGACCAAACACGTTATCAGCTTCGGATCCACCACGCCGTTCGCCAAATCGTTCTGCAAAATCTGCGGAGTGCAGTAGAAAACGCGTTTCGTCGACCACAAACGACGACGATCCTCCGCAGGACGGTTCCCAAGCAGCTCGGCCGATTCGGACTATCGCTTATTCCGCTCTTTGGCAACGCAAACGTGAGGAATGCCGACGATATCATAGCACGCACCGATCTGCTGCGTCACCAGCGGCTTTGTTGGCGCCATAAACACGACCTTTCCCGCGGGGAACCATCGATAGAAGTTATACATGACGACAGCAGCGATGAACGTCTTGCCCAGACCGGTGGGAAGCGAAACGAGCGTGTTTCGAAGCAGAGCGGTGGACACAATGGCGTATTGATACTCTCGAATGGGATAATTGGTGGGATAGCTATCGATCAGGGGTGCGTGGAAACGTGGAAACATGTAGGTCTTCATTGTTTCGGGGTCGAGAAGAGGAAAGCCGGAGGAGGAGATGAGGTTTTGGGAGGAGGCGAAGATGCTGCTGCGACGTCGCGTGCTGGGAGTGGAAGGAGAAGGAGCAGCAGAAGCAGAAGAAAAAGAAAAAGAAGCGGAAATGATTGGATCGGAAGAGAGGATGGTTCTGGAGGGTTTGGAAGGAGTGGAGATTAGGGAGGCGGGAGCGATGTTGCTAGACATGCTGTGTTGCTGCAGGCTTTCTTTCCAATCTGGAGAGTTACGCGAGGAGAGGTGTGTACTGTAATTACGATTTGGTTGGGGCACGCGCGCTGTTTTTTCAGGACTCGCCACAGGAGCAGCTTCTGGAATGGTAGGACGAGCAAATGAGCAGAGTTCACAATGTAAGGATGACACACGATTTGACCATTTACAGTTTGGACATTCCCATGTGTCTTTTTGACCAGAATAGAGTGGCTTCTTCGCTCCACTTCCGATAATCGGCCAATTTGTCGTTCCTTTTGAATTCACTTGACTACTCGAATTCGTGGATGAGTGATTTGGGATCTTGCACCTCTCCTCCGCTGCTTGCTTTTCAATTTCCGTTAATACGTCTTCATCCACCTGCAAGTCAATCGAACGAACGAAACCAAACAGATAGGTCATTTATATATTCCATACAAAAGACTACCCCAAAAGGATATTACTACAAAAATGTATCCGAGTTAGAAACAACAATGCTTCACCCGCCAAATACTCCACTCCACCCAATTCTTCTGCAATATACAACCCCATAGAGTCTGTCCAACAAACAATCATAAGCGCTCATCCAAAAATGATCCGGAACCACTTGGTGAATCGGCGTCTCCATGGGCTTTCCAAATTCGTTTTCAAAGATCACTTGCTCTACTCGTCACAACGCGCTCTCAATCTTACGAGGAGGATAGCGGGCATGCTCATGGTACTTCTCGGAATTGTCCGGATACCCTACAGAAATCAGGCAGCACACGTCGTAAGTTTTCGGGATTCCGAAGGCCTTCATTATGCTGGGAGCGTCGAATCCGCCCATGTACAGCGTTCCTTATTCTCACCGCCCATGATTAATCCTACCCCAACCCTTGCTCTGAGCCAGCATCACGAACTGCTGCATAAAGAACGCAGAGTTCTTGTAAGCCCAGCCCTCGATGGAGTTCGGCTCACCCTTGTAGCCAGTTCCAGTGAAAGCTTCCTTCATGCGGGTAAAAAAGGTTTCCTTCTTCAGGAAGACGGGAACTAGTTGCAAATAAAGAGAAAATGGTACGAATTCGCTCGGCCATCTCGGCTTCTTCTTTGGGCACTCCATGGGCAAGGGAAAGCTCAGTCAGCTCATGGGCACTATGGGCGGGATCTAGTCTTAAAGAGAGGAGCTTCCCAAACCTAAATCACAGCACACAATTAAAGTAGCGGAAGCAGCGTTAATAATACGCTCGTTATTCAGGAGAGACAGTTTTCCGAGTTTTGCCTTGTCTTCGGGTGTATGCACGACAATAACCTTAAAGGGTTGGGTATTCATGGAGGAAGGGGCTCTCTAGTGGATAGCTCGCCATCTCTCATCTGATACCTGCGCCAGGGAGATCACTTCCTTCAATTCCTCAATAGGGATTTCCTTGTTGAGATATTTCCTGACGCTTCTTCTTTCGAGCATCAGTCGCTTCATCATTTCAAAGGAGTCTTCACTTTCCATTTTCTTGAAAAAAGATATGTGCGGATATTCTGTTCAGATTCTTCACTGGAATTGAGATGATACTTTCCTATCGGGTGAATCAAGGAAGTAGCTGTCTAGCCTATCATTCTGGAAAGCATATCCCCAAATCTTCGCCTTCCCTGAATCCAAATCCCAAACCGTGGATGTTATCATTATATCAAAGTGCAGAATGACACGCAGAAACGTACCACTTGACCTTCTAGGTAATGGGTAGATACAAACGCTTCTTTTTGTTTTATCTTTGCTTTTTACAGTCCAAACATTTGATATTCAAATCGTCGGGTCTCGCGCTGAAAGTACGTTGATTCATATTTACGTCGACCCCACCGAAAGTTCTTATATTTGGTGTATTCCATTGCCCTACGGTGCTCCGGAGCCGGACGAGACTCTCATCAAGAATATGGCTCAGTATCAACTCGAAAAGGGAGTGAATGATGTGATTTTGACCAATGTAATCTCTGATACGGACTATACAGTTTATTGCTTCGCTGAAACATCGTCTACCCCTCCGACCCCCATGAGTAGTACTATTAGCAGTACACGAACGAATCTATCGACTGTGTCGAGTAGCGAGTCCGGACATCGATCTCAGAAATAGAGAACGACTTCAACGCAGTCATCGAATCTGATGTCAAGGGGTCCACAACGGAGTTCCCAATACCAGTCACCATAACTTTTTCTCAGCCTGTTCAGAGTATTGCGCAAAGCAACGTGATTGTACTAGCTCTCAATCCTCTCTATGATAGGTGGAAAACGGACAAGTGTCGTCCTTTTCCCAATCCTCCACCACCGAGGTGGAGCTGTCTGTGACTCCAGAAGCTCCGGGAGATGTGACGGTCACGGTTTCTTCGGTGCTTTCGTCCTCGGGAGTCGAGCTCGTGGATGCTCCAACACTCACAATCGTCTACAAGGGAGTTTCTATATCATCGCCCTCAATTTTGGCTTATTCTCGCTATGCGATTCTCTCTGTGACTACGACAAAGCAAGTGGAGCTCTACGTGGTTCATTACTCGCGTTCGGTCGCTCTCACGCCCGAATCTTCCCTCGTTATTACAACGGGACAGAAAATGCAGGCACTTTCGGAGACTTCGTACACCTTAAACATCACCAATTTGACTCCAACCACTGATTACGTTGCATACATCGCAGGTCGGGAACCTTTCGGTCCGCTGATCGCTAACTCTGTTGCGGATACTCGAATTGCGTTCACTACTGTGAAGGACGGAGACAAACCTTCTGAAGGAAAGCAATGTCCGAAGGGATGGAACCTCTCTGATGGATTGTTGCTGTACGCGCAGTGCAGCGATCAAGGAATGTGCTTGGATAGTGGGTGTATTTGCTACTCTCCTTACACTGGCGAAAGTTGCCAGGACCTAGCGGTCGACAGTTCGATTGCTGCAAATACAACACACCACATTCTCCACACAACACTAACCATGTATGTCGATTGGGGAGAAAACAGCGATGATGAGTTGATTGCCTATCTGAAAACATCGATTCGGTTGGCTGCTTCCGCTGCTGCAGATGTGTCCTCTTCCAGCCTGGCTATCCGCGTATGGGAAATGAAAGAAACAGAGGAAGAGGATGTGGATGTGGAAGTGGAAAACAAGATGATTCGAGGATTGGAAAAGCGCCGGCGAGGCCATCCTGGAATTCTGCCTTATATTTGGGCAGAAGAAAGCACGAATCTGCGCATTCATGTTCTGTATTGTGTTTAACATGCATCATAGATGACGACTGTGATTCCAAAAGATGAAGCGCAAACCATCATGGATCGCATCGAGACGTTCTTCTCGAGTTCTGCTTTTACGACGTTGTTTAAATCGCTTGGATTGGGAGTCACGGATGTTTCTCTAACGAAGATGATGGTTCAGAGTTCATCGGAGCCATATACATGCTATGATGGAACGATCAGTGGAAAAGAGACGGATGTGGATTGCGGAGGTACCGAATGCGTAGCGAGATGTCCGTCTTCGCAGATGTGTTCTGTGAAAGAAGACTGTGAAAGCGGATCGTGTATGAACGGGAAGTGTTCAGGAATTGACTGGAAGCGGATCTTTTTCATTGCTTGCATTGTGGTTGCTGTGATTGTGGTCATTGTGATTATCTCTGTCGTGGTGGGAATTTTCAAGAAAAAGGTGCGTTGTTGTTCGTTTGATTGAGTGTAGAGCCAGACGGTGAATATTGCTCAGCCGCGTCCGATGCGGAATACATTCCGATCATCCTACGTCAAGCATCACCGAGCTCATCATTCAAGTGTTTGTTTGAAGAAATACTGGGTGGTTTATTTTGCTACAGGATTGAGTGTGGTTATACAAATAATAGAATAAAAGACGGTATAACTAATGCTTGGAGTGTTTCTTGTCCTTCTTTTCTTTCTTGTCCTTCTTGTCCTTCTTGTCCTTCTTGTCCTTCTTTTCTTTCTTATCCTTCTTTTCTTTCTTATCCTTCTTATCCTTCTTGTCCTTCTTATCCTTCTTTTTATCCTTCTTTTCTTTCTTTTTATCCTTTTTTTCCTTCTTGCCCTTCTTTTCCTTCTTGTCCTCACTCTTCTTACCTTTCTTATCTAAAATAGCAAAACCACTATTCAATTTACCCTCTTTTCCATCGTCATCAGAAAAGATTGTCAGATTCTTACTAATTCGCTGATAACCAGGCTTTACAAAGTGCTTATACAACTCTGATAATAAAATAAACCACCTTTACCCACCATATTTGGGATCTTTCTTCTTTTCCTCATCTTCTACCACTTCATAATCGCCAATATCACCAAGTCCGAGGCCTCCCTACAATAAACCATTTATTCAGTCCACTCACCACACCATTATGGGCTCCAAGCTGCTGAATTGAATCAATATAGGCATTCAATCTTGACTCTTCCATAGTGACTTTATGCGATAATACTATTTAATATAATTCTAGTGACTGTCCCTTCAAAAACAAATTCAAAATTGTGTGCTCCCAAACCCATACAAAAACCATTGAATAACACTCTGAAAACAGTCGATCAGTATCATTTCCCATATCCCTACAGACGACAGCTCAAATAAGGCATGTATCACAACAAACAGACAATAAAAGAGAAACTGTTTTCTTTTGTGGAGGTCGAGATCTTACACTCCGTTGGTATCTCTTCACCGCCACCTTCACTATTAAACCAATAATCACCAACACCACCACAACCGCCACCACGATCAACACAATGGCCAGTGGTGTAGCCATGCAAACTCCCCGCGTCTTTCCCCACACGCCGTCCATCTCTCCCACAATGCACTTCCGTTTAAGCGACCCCATGTAATTTCCTCGCGTCTCACACACAAACACGAACTCCTCTCCAGCAGGAGTCATCGGGAAATAGCCGTCCGCTTCGCATCTCGCATCCCGAACCTCGATTTGGATCGTTATGCTCGCCGCTCCGCGCTCGTTCAGCGCATAAACCGTAACATTGCGAGGCTCTGTGTAGTTCAAAGCCACGCCGAAGAATTCTCCCGTCTGGTTGTTAAACTGCAGGCCATTGGGGATCGTTTCCGGATTGTCGATCAGGAAGGAAGTCACGATATTCTGGTACGTCGGAGCGGGGATCTCGCTCTTCAGTCCGATTGCGAGCGAAAAAAGCGACTTGGAGTAGTGAAAGAGTCCGGGGAGTTTCATCGTGCAGTTCTCGGTGTGGACTTCGCCGAGCTTTCCGTCGTGGCATTCGCGATAGGTGAAGCCAGAGTAGCCTTCAGGGCAGCGCGACGGCGAGATCTGGCCTTCCTGAACGGGCGGGTAATCGTCCACGCCTTCGCAGATATCGCCCTGCGCCACGCAGTACTGCAATAAGATCGCGGAGACTTTCGGGGCTGATCGCAGATCGGCCAGCGAAGTCCAGCGGAACTCGCGGAAGCTCGCGATTCCCACGGGCGTGGCGACCATGTCCTTGACACGATCGACTTGGTTGTACTCCACACGTCTGGCAATCGACACGAAGTCGTCCAGACCCTCCGAACGGCCCTCCAACTCCCAGCTGATCGAGTTGACAGCGACGCCCACGACGAATCCCCAAGCGTTGAACGCGCTTCCCATGCGATTCTCGACGGTCCAGCGAACCACAGCGTCTTTCTGCTTCGAGAGCGTGACGAAAGACGACGGATCCAGGTCGAAAAGCCCCTCCGCGCCGCTCGACACGTCGGTGGCTTCCACGTCGATCACTGAATCCACGACTTCGGAACAGTCCATCACGCCGAATACGCCGGTCGCGTCGAAGGCGACGTCGCTGGAAGCGTCGTCGATGTGTCGATGGATCTCGAACGCGATGACGTTGTTGCTGCCGCTCTGGGCGCCCACTACCGGCAAGATGACGTGGAATTTAGAGAAGAGAGAGCCGTCGTGATGCTCCAGAGCGTACGTTTCGGAATCGAACGCATCGGGGAGATTAAATCGAGCCACCATGCGGCCATTGAAATAAGCGATCAGACCTCCAGAGTAGTGCGTATGGACATTCAGCACGTGATACACACTCAGATCGGGGATCGTTACGGTTCTTCGCGTGTAGAACGTGATCGACTGCGAGTCAGTGATGTTCGAACTCACCAAGTTCTCCCATTCCGAGTCATTATACGAAGCCAATTTCCAATCCGCAGGGACGCTCTCCGCGCGTCTCCACAACTTCCAATAGTCATACTCGATCTGGAACGGCAGCAAGCTCGAGAACGTCGTGCTCACCTGAATGGGCATCTCTTCTCCCGCGGGGACATGCGAGAACTCGAACGGAAGCGTTCCGACATCCACGGAGAGATGGTATCCGGCAGGGAAATACCAGCCGTTCACCGCCAAATCGATGGCTACGAAGGTGTACAAGCCGTGGGTCAGGCAGAAGTCCTGGTAGACCATTGTATTCGACGGGAATGACTCGAATTCGTAGAGAGGCGTATACGCAGTCGAGCTTCCCGGGTAAAGACGCGTGTTGATCTGTGCGGGAACGGTATCCGTGCGGATAT